CTATATTACCTAACTCTAATCTCTAAAGTATCTCTTAGAATATCTAACTAGACTATACTTTCTAATAATAGTAGCTATATAGTAAGTATACTACGATCCTTTTCCTATAGCTATCTTTTACTATATATTTAAACTAGTCCTTAGAATATAAAGTAGTATTATAGATTTCGTTCTTATACTTATTAAATACCTATAGATTCGTCTTCTTAGAAATAAATAATAGACTATCTCTCTATTAAATCTAGGTATTACTATAGGTATAGCTATAGTAGCGCCTAGCTATATTATATTAGTATAGATCTATTATATATAGGTACTATAAGCGCTTTACTTTTAGGCTACTCTTTAAGAGTTTCCTCTATATTAGTAACGTATTATATAAGCCTAGTTATATTACTAGTATAGGTATTCGAGAACTAGACCTTTACTTTTAAAATAGAGAAGAGTATTAAAGTAGTAAGTATAAGAGTATAGAGCTTAATAAGCTTCATTTTTAGCGTTCGGTAAAGTTCGAGTAGTAGGACTTTTACGAATAATAAGAAGACGCGAACGGCATCGTAATACTTATACGCGCCTCAAAAAAAAAAGCTCTTAACATTTAGCATACGTCTCGGCAGGCTTGACTTCGTAGCGGAGTTCGAGGCCGCATATAACTCGACTCGCATCTGGTCCTCCTATCGTTAGACCTTTCTGCCGACCAAATTGTACTGCCTGAGTTGGAAGTCTAGTGAAGCATATTACTACAGGGGCTGATCTGATCCATTCCTGACTCTGCCAGTCACTCTCAGTCAAGCAATACTGGTGCTGGAATACGAACGGTGCGAAGCGACAACCCTCGTCGAAATCCGAATTCAGCTTTTGCCAAGTGTGCAGGCGTACCACGGTACTGGTCCTTTGGAGCTGAACTATACGCGGCCAGCTAGGCGATGTCCATGGAACGGGCACTGGGATCTGTTCCTCTGATTTCTTTCCTAGAAAGACGAAGGCGATGACTTGTGCTGTATGTTGCTCTTGTGGCGAGGCCGCGACAAAGGGCTAAACATCTCTAGCTTAGCTATCCGTAGCTATAGACTAAGCCGGCCAGCAATACGGTGCGCAAGAATGCTCGGTACAGCGATCAGCAACGAGCTCGAAGAGTCGAGGACGAAGCGCAAGAAGAGGAGAGAGCTCGGTCGCACCAATAAAAGGTCCAGATTCGCAACCTACGATGTCAAAGCTATCATACAAAATCATCAAAACTTCATCAACTCATCGTCGCATCTCATCACACATTACCTCTCCCATCATCGCAACTCCTCAAACATCTCACCTCAAACACCCTCAATCAACTTCGGCTTCCCCGGACTGCTGCCAATGGCAGTCATAGTCGCCCCAGATACAATACAATCATAAGTTCTCCTCATCTCCCCAACCTTCTTCGTCACAAGCGTGCCACCCATAGTGCCACGTCTACAGTAGCGACGATAAGGCACCGAGATGCCCCAAGCTCCAGTTGAGAGGCCTTCTTGGCCAAAACCCCACGTAGGGTGGGAGACGGCGGCGCCAGAGACCACGGTGCTCTGAAGTGGACAATCGAAGCTGGTGTCGCCGTTCTTGGCGGTGCGTGTCGTCGCTGGGACGAGGAGGCTTCCGTCGCATTGGCAATAAGTGCTGCTCGAGCCCAGGCCTAGGACTTCGCAGGAGACGGGTTTGGGAGGCGCGGTGGTCTTGGGAGCGGCGGTTGATGAAGGTCGCTTTGAAGTTGTGCTTGGAGCGAAGCTGAACTTGGAACTGGTACTCACAGTCCTGCTCGAAGTGATGGTGCTTGAGAATGTCGACGAAGTGGAGTTTCCCGAAGAGGAGGATGTGCTCCGAGTCGATCTGGTTGAGGTTTCATTCGAGGAAGTCGGCTCATTAGTGTAGGTCCACGCAGTTGCTGCACTGTCGTACGGTACCGTGGTGAAGGGGGAAAGCGGTGGAGCAGCAGCAGTTGCAGCAGTGTTCCATGTCGACACGGGAGGAACAGAACAAGCGCCGTCGCGACGAGACTTTGTGTCCCCAGGTGAGAGGCCATCCTTGTCCCAGGACTCTATGAGATGTGGATAGGGCACATCTGCCCAAACTTTGTATCCTGCAAAGTCGCGATCACACTGTTCGTTGGCCTCGATCATCTTTGGATCCCACTGGATCAGGATCTTTCCATATTCGCGCGTTGCAAAGAGGGCCCATCGACGCTCCTTGGTCATAGGCGATACAACTCTGGCTTGCTGCACGGTACTCCAGAGTTTCGAAGCTCGAAGCGCAACATAGCCTTCCAGAAGGATGTTGGCATTGGGCCAGGTCGCCCTGAGACTACTGATCATCCGCTGCCACTTGCTCGTGTGCCTGTGATCGAGTTCTGCCGGCCAAACTCCTGATTGAAGCTGTTCCAGAGTGCTTGGAAAATCTCGAGGCCCGAGAATCAAGATCTGAACTCCGTTGTCAGGATCCAGTATCCCACCAGGATTCTTGTAGTCATTGAGGCCGACGTAAGTCGCGTCACGGCCGGTCCACATCTACTCTGCTGTCAGTAATAAACATAGGGCAAGTAGAGCGCCGACACCGTCATACCTGTTCCAAGATTTCCTTCTGAAAGAGTTCCTCGTTTTCAAAGTTCTTGTCCTCCCAGAAATGCGAGATCCAAAATCCCTTTCGAGATATTACAATCAGGGAGGTGCAGCCAAACATGTTTTCCAAGACGAAGTTGAAAGCTGGCTTATCCTCGAATGACACGACTCGAGAGCTTGAAAGTCCTCGCATGCCGTGACCGTCGCCCAGATCACCGCCGTCAAGCTGGAGCGACATTGTCGCAAGGCGACACTCCGCGGTCATGAAGTTCGCGTACGATAAGTAGTCTTGCGGCGTCTTGGCTCGGCTGATCCACAGCTGGCGGAGATGCAGAGAGTGGAGCTGATTTGAGAGCCAGGAGACGACAGAAGAGAAGGCTCGCGCGATAATTGCACTTCGAGACGGGCCGGTTATGAGTACGCAAGATTTGGCACAACTCTCCCAGCGACAGAGGTCCAGCTCTGGCTTCTTGGTGCAGGCGGAGGTCTTGTTGCCTGCCTTGCTGAAGTATCTGGAAGTCTTGTTGCCGGGTTTGTTGGAGTACAAAGCCATCGTGTCCGAGTTGTCAGAGTCACTACCCATGTCGCTGTCGGACTCATAGACTTGAAAGTCCAGTGGAGTCCAAACCTTCTCGGCGTATGGCTTGCCGTGGTAGGTAGGGTTCTTGTAGCTGTCGACCTGGTCATGTTGTCAGTACCTATCATGGAGCAAGGCCAAGCATGCACGGCATGGAAAGACTTACCCAAAGCCGATAACCAACCTTGTACTTCTTGCACTCATTGCCATCCTCATCTGTCATCGGTGTGTCTTCGTCCTGGTCGCTGTTGTCTTCTTCGGCTATAGGATTGTACTCGAGATAGTAATGGCCACTCGAAGTCGTCTCCCATAGGTTTTTCAGATCGTCCTTTGAGGCTATACCGATGGCCCAATTTGTTTGTTCATCCGACATGGCGGGTCGTAGGCGGTAATATGCATGCACATCGGGCTCAACGCCAAAGCGACGATTCATCAAGCTCTTCAGCTCCTCGACCTGGAAAAATGTTAGCTCTCCGCAAAGACACTATGATCAGTAGACCCTGTCACCGCATAGACGTACCCGTTCAGGATATTGATAAACCCCATCGCCCCACCATTCTTGCGGAGCGCCACGGCGGCGAGGCGAATCGTCGGGCGTGAAGATGAAAATCTTGAAGTCATCATCGGCTCTGGTAGCGGGATCGAAAATCGAACCAGGTTTAGAAAGGTCGTTGAGTCCCTGAAGATATCTGCCATCGCCGTAAAAGATGGCCGGATCAAGGTCGGTCCAAAAGTCTTCAAGCGTCATCGTGGGCAGCTCAAATATGTGAGACATCCAGGCACCTCGCTTTGACACGATTATGATGCTGGTACATCCATACAAGCCTTGCACGGCGATGTCAACGTACTCGTCGTTGAATGGAACCCAGTCAGCAGAAGAAACTCCATATGGTGCCACTCGCTCGCCATTCTCTGCAGCAGCGTGTCTCGCACGAAGCCAAAAGCGGACATCCTCGCGAGTGGGCTTACTCGGGTCAAGAGGAGGCCACTTCCAGCGCTTGTGGACGGACCTCGCAGGCATAGGCTTGCCATCAATGCCGTTCAGGGTCATCCCATTGCTGACGCGATGACGCACCCTGACCGCAGCTCTATTCCAACTGTTCCCCATGGCTTTATCAAAGTCGGCGAACTCACCCCAAGCGCGCTTCTGGTTTTTGGGCGCCTCGGATAATTGACGCTTCTTGCTCTTGGGCGCCTCGGACGCTGGACATTCGCCAGAGCATGCACCATCAGCGTCACAGAAGGACGATTCCCAAGACGGCGTAGGGGTTGCGGACTTGGTTGTAGTCGTCGCAGTCCCAGTCACTGTACAGCCGCTGAAAGCTGACATCGAGGTTGAACAGCTGAATGATGTTCGAGTGCCAGAGGTCGTTGGTACGCATGTCACAGCCGTATTGGTCACCATGCTGGCTGTGCAGGACGACTCGCTCCGTGATTCAGAGCTCGACTGAGCCTCGCTTGTTGGCTTCGCCGTACTGTTTGGATCGTTCGTTGGCTTGGGATTGGGTGGAGGATTCTTGCCATCGTCAGGGTCGTCGGGGTCCTCCTTAACAGTCTTGGGACTGCCGCAATCTCCCCATATGCGAATGCCAAAGATCCTGAAGCAATCGACCCTAAAAACCGGCAGCTTGGGAAATTGTATGTGGAAGTCGATGTTGATGTTCCGCGGAATGGGCCACAAGTTCCAGATGATGACTCCTCCACCGCATTTCTTGCACCAAATTACCGGCACCACAGTGTGCTTTCCTCCCTTGATGGTCGTGTACCATTGATTCGATGACAGAGATGGCACAATTTCTGTGGTAACGCTAGCTGGAGGCTCTGTGATGGTGCCAGTGGCAGAAGCAACAGGAGGGAATGTGGTTGTGCCGGTGTAGGTGAACATGGTGCCATTCCACCAGAAGAATCTGTCATCTGATGTGCTGGACGTTGTCGAAGTAGATAAACCTGGCGGAAGCGTAATGGGAGACGGTCCAGTAGGCGGCAGGGTGATCCCAGGTGGGCGAATCGTCAATGCGGTGGTGGACGCGGGGACGGGTGAAGGCAGAGTGAGGCCGGACGAAGGCAGGCTGAGTCCAGGAGGGGACAGGCTGAATCCGGGCGGAGGGGCGCTGGAGCCGGGTAGAGACAGACTTAAGCCAGGCGGAGGGGCGCTGGAGCCGGGCGAGGGCAGGCTGAATGGAGGCAGGAGGCTGATGCCGGAAGATGTGGTCGTCCTGCTGAGCGTGAAATTCGGAATGCCAGAGGATGTCTCTGCCGATGGTGCGACAGCAGAGGAGCTGAATGTGGAGGCACTAGTACCGCCGGCTGTTGACTGAGACGGAATCACTGTGGAAGCACTTGAAGACGACTCCGACCGAGTGGGCCTGGATGGAACGCTGGTCAGAGATCCGCGGCTGGAAACACTGGCACCGGCGGCTGAGCTGGCGGATGGCAATCCTGTGAAGGATGACTGAGATGAGGTCACTGTGTCTCTGCTCAATGTGGCGGAAGAACCGATAGGCGGAGCGATTGAGGGCGGCCCGGATTGGCTATTCGTCGCGGAAGGAACACGAGATGAATCGGTGAGTGAACCACGAGACGTGAATGTAGGTCCGCCCGAGGTGCCGGACAGACCAGTGGAGAGCGCGCTTCCAGATGAAGTGAAGGAACCAGTACCGCCCGCAGTCCCGCCTGTTGACGGAGCAGTGGCAACAGATCCAGGGGAAGAAGAGGCCGTGACTCCGCCAGAAGCACTCGGCAATTGACTGGTGCTGTCGCTAGCTGGCAGCTCAGATGTAGAGGAGCTGCGAGAGCTGCCCTTCGACGGCGTGAGCGCCGGAGTACTCGAAGACGGCTGAGTGGAGGGTGACTGAGATGGAATCACTGTGTCTCTGCCCGAGGTTGCGGAAGAAGCGATGATTGTGTTGCTTCCAGGCAGCGGAGTAGCGGCAGAAGTGCTGGAAATAGCGGTATTGCTGATGCTGCTAGGCGCGATGGAGGAGGATGTGAGAGGGGTCCCGTCTACGGTCGAGTGAAGTGAAGCAGTCGAGTGAAGTGAAGTAGTCGAGGACGCGCTGTATGTAGCGGTCTTGCCTGTGGAGCCTGGGCTGTAAGAAGCGACGGACGACGAAGTGCGAAGAAAGCTGGATTGCGGTGATATGATCGACGGAGCGGAGGGAGTAGTGGAAGTCGAAGTTGTCCAGGATGCGCTGGATGTCAACGAAATGCGGATGCTGCTGGCTGTGCCAAGCGCAACGAGCGAAGAAGTGGTGCACGAAGTGGTGGTTGGGATCCATGAGTGGAAAGGAGCGGAAGATGTAGGCGACGTGAGAGTCGAAGTGAGTGTAGTGCTGCACGAGGTGGAGCTCGTCGTGGGGTGCCACAACAGGCCCGTCATGTTGGCCCAGAGCATGGCCATGATGGCGGTGTGGCGGTAGTTGAGGGTGGTATGTTGGGAAGAGAAATCAAGTTGAGCAGGAAGAAGGGCAGGGAAGACATAGTGGTCTTGCCCATATGCAAGCATGTGAGACGCTAATGCGGAGTTGAATGGCTCTTTCAGATGTTCTCCATGTGAACTGGCGGAAAGTGGAATGCTTCATGTGAGAAGGATGGTCTGAAGTCCACATGCAACCGCCTCTGCGCCATATTGTCCTGTGAATCATAGCTACCACTGATGTGAGGGCGCTGACAATTGGTACATAGCAGCATGAGAATAGTCAATTCGGGCGGGGAGGATGATGGTAGCTGGAGCAGGAATGCTTCATGGAGGAAGTTGGACCCTGGGCAAGGCATAGTCTGCAGAAACTCACGATTAATCCAACAACGAACACCTCCGCGCCACCTTGCTGCATCTCACTCTCTTCGTCTCGTGTACATGATCGCTCTCTTCCTGACTTGTTTCTCCTTGGAATCGGCCCACGGTCATTGACACGGACGGTCACGCCGCATGGAATGGCCGACAAACAACATCAGCAGTCGACCTACTGAACCGCGTGTCTTGCTTGCCCGATCTCCACCACGTACAGGCCATCCTCTCTCTTCGCGCTTCGAAGTTCTAGTACCATCAGTTACCAGACCGCTCCGATCGCATGCATCTCAGCCCTCAAAATCCTGCACGCGAGTCCAGATTCCGCAGCATCTCAGGCGAATGCACATCAACACCCTTTCTCCACCGGGGACGGAACTGAACAAAGCCCCTGTCAACCAGCCAATTCTATCCGAGCCAACGCCTGCGACTGACCGTACAGGAGAAGAGATGGACTTGGCGACTTGTGTGAAAAGAGGGAATCATGATCGACAGGACCCATGGCGGATGGGAGCACGGCACAAGTACGAACCTAGGCTCGAGTAACGCGGAGTGTAAGAACAGGCAGGCAGAGATGGCAGAAGGTCAAAAGATGTGGTGCTTGAAGAGAAAGAGGTGGTATGAGTGAACACACAAAGGAGCTTGATAAATTCTCTATTCTGTAGAACAGGTTGATTGTTGGATCCTCGAGCTCCTGTGTGCTGACGTCGAGATCCCACATATTTGTTTGTAAGAGCGCGGGATGAATCGAAGGCAGCGATCGCGATCGTTGTCCGGCCTTGTTTGATACGAGCTGGAGACGGAACAAAGGCAATGGTTTGCCTGTACAAATCGAGCAAAAGAATACACATCTTGTTCAGTAGACATACTACCCATCGCAGAGTCGCACCACACCCACCGAGCTTTGTTGAACACCTTTCGATATCGAGTTCACTTGTCGCTACTGGGATTCCCTATCCTATACGATTTGCGCTCCAATTTTACATTTAGCCACACCGAGCGACATGCCGCAATGCAATTGTAGTTTCACATCAATAGACAGTGACAGTACACTGATCGGCATCCGCCCCAGCATATCTACTTCTAGGCAGTGTCAAACAAGGTCGATATTTCATCCACGCTTCGATTAGCGCGAGTCAGCATTAGATCGATTCCGCGTTGTTTGTCCGCCATCGAGTACTATCCAGATGGAGATCTATCTGATCTTGACCATAGATGTTCTCCTCCTGGGCTGTCCAAGTTCGTCGCTTTATCTTCCACCGCTGCCGCCGACGCCAAGCTTTTCTTCTGCGTACGGCAGTTCGACGACAAACATCAACGCATGCGCTTTTCGCTCGCACACACAGAACAGCACTCGTATTCAGACTCTGCGCCGAAGACACTTAACACTCGCTATATCGTGCTTCTCAATCACCATCAAATTACACAAGCACACGCATATCAGAATGTCCGCCAACAACTCGAACAACGCCACCTCGAGCAACGCCAGCCCAGAATCGCAGCCAACCCCAACTCCATTGGCCGCACCTCCCACAGACCACTCCCAGTTCTCGCCCCAAAGCAACGGCACCTCATCAACAGACGACTTCGCCGCTGAACCATTCGCTGGCTTGGAAGACCCCTTTGCCAGCGATGAAGGCGGAGCTGGAACATTACTACCGAGTGGCTTTGCTTATCAACCCCCACCAAACCCAGCAGTGCCAACTCCGCAGCAAGAGGAGAACTCTGAGGCAATGCGGGCGTTTGTTCAGGAGATGATTGAGACGAGAACGGAAACGAAGGAGTGGGATGAGAGGGTGGAGATTGAGCGGGGGCAGGGAGTTCGCGCGAGGCCGGGGAGTGCGGCGAGGGAGAGGCTCAGAGCGAGAGCGGAGAGACGGAGGGAGAGGATGGGGATTACGGAGCAAGGGGCTGGTGGAAGAGAAATGGAGAGGGTGGATGAGGCGATGGAGGTGGAGAAACAGGGGGAGGAGGTGGTGAGAGAGCCCAAACGGAAGAAGATTAGGCTCAGCGAGGATGTAGTGGTGGATGGCGAGGGGAAAAATCGATGAGTAGAACGTCCCAAAAGCAAAAAAGCAGAGAAGTAGCGGGCCGAAGCAGGGCAAGGGATTCTTCACAGTGTATTCGCCAGACAGTGCAACAGCTGGCCGTTCGAATTGGAGGGAGTGAGCTTCCCGGCGAAGCAAATGCTAGACAGCAGGCGCTGTCAGCATTACTGCTACCGATTGATGAGGTGTATCACAGCGACAGAAAAGGTGTTGAGTCCGAAAACTTTTGCGCTGATTCGGTCGCCGGTTTGACGTTCGAGAGTCTGAGCCTTTGCCAGATGGGCAGCAGCACGCAGCTCGATACGATTTCTCCTGTTACTAAACACTCAATTGAGGCATCGGACCTATCCAACGGACGAGGTCGACGCAAGGCGTCGTACAAGAGATGTTCAGCTGATAATAAGTCAGCGAAGAACTGAAACATTCATCTACCATAGCCTTGCCTAGAAATCTCAACATGACAAGTCTTACGACCTAGCTGCTGGACTTCCAGAAGAGCATCTCACGTCGGCATTCATGTTGGAAGCACTCGAATGCTATTACTGGCCAAATTGATATGGCTTAGGCCATGCGGAGCGATGGAGAGCGAAAGGCCGGTGAGAAGAGCATACAGCATATCATCAATGGCATTCCCGTCGTCTCTTCATACAACGCTTCGTACAACGCTCCCAAATATAACCTTGACCGGCCACTCATCACGTCCATTGCCTCCGAACTACTAATCCTCCTCCTCATTTTCCTCTCTGTCTACTTTTTCCTCTATCCATCTACGAAGCAGTACCCGTAACAATCGGACATCCAAAAGCCGCCGCAGGCGAGAAGCTCGCATTCGTGAACACAGGGTTCAAAGTGTCCCTCATCCAGTTCAATCTCGCAGGTGGCAGATCCGCCTCGCCTCCACCACCAAGCGCAGATGGGATGTTCTCAGTGGCCAACTGGTACAGCAGACATGAGACACCCTCTGGTGAGCCTGGAAGAGTGCCGTTGCTGAAGAAAGGACCGTTGGAGCCGATGCCGACGAAGGTGTTCTATGAAAGAGAATCAGTAAGGGGCAATTGGGCGAGTCGAGGCGTGGAGATGTGGATGGAAACGTACAGGCTTGCCAGTGTTACCACCAAAAGCGACTGGGTTCAAGAAGTACTGGGCTCCAATCTCACGGGCAACATCTGGGATGGTGTAAGGTGTGACACGGGAAAACCATTTCTCGGGAAGCTTTTCTTGGAGGAAGAAAGAGTCCATAGTGGCTTGGTCTGGAGTTCCGAGGTTGCCGCGGTTGGGGAAGAGTTCGTAGAGGAAAGACGAGGCGCCGAAGAGGAGGAGGGACTTGGGGCCGACTGGGGTAAGAGCAGGTCAGTATTGTAGACAGGACTTCAAATTAGAAGGGTCAAATGACATACAGTAGAAGTTTCCATTCTCGTTCAAAGACTGCTGATATCTCTGGAATCGGTATCGACCGATGTTCTCGCGGTTGTGCAGACCGCCAGTTGTTCGGGACATCATGTTGTAGAGAGTTCGGTTGAAGCGGAAGTTGTCTCCGTTGGCTGTGTAGAAGTCGTTCCTGGTCAAGGACGTATCACCCTCGAACTTGTTGTGAGTGTTGAGACCTGGTTCAGGACCAAAGCCTGGTGTCGCTGTGCGAGAAGTGGCGTCGCAGCCGAGCGACAGCTTGCGAGTGATCGGGTCGCCGTCAAGGCCGACACCCAACACAGCGAGCAGGACTGCCAAGTCGTAGCCGACACCGTAGACGTTTTGTTGAGCGTCGGTGAGTTCGGAGAAGGTTGTGATGCCGTCGCGGGACACTGTAAGGTGTGTCAGTAATTGCGGACAACGCATATCAATTGTCGTAAGAACGCACGGAAGCCGTGGTTGGCAGCGGTGTTCACTGTTGCGTGTCGTTAGCATAAGTTGAATGATTGGTGCGACGCGAGATTATAGCTTACGGCCTGGGCAAGGTCCACGAATATCAAGAGGTCCTGGAGCCTGGTATGCGTGTGCAGTGTCGCCCTGATATGATCATCAGCATTGTTTCAATCTTGAGCGTCATACTGTAACATCATACCGGTGCTGGAACTTGGTTGAAGACACAAGCTTGGAAGCCTGGTGCACCATTTTGAGCACCGCAGTATGGGAACTTGATGTTGAACGGGACTGCTCCTCGGTGGTCTGGGTTGTTGGGGCAGACTGTAGAGCCTGGTGTTTGACGAGCAGAGAGGATAGCATCACGGGCAGTCATCTCTTCGGCATCGATGCCAACAGATCTGGCGACCCATGGGAAAGCAGCGGCCTGGCCGGCCAAAGCGACAACTGCACCAATGCGGAGAGACATGGTGGATGCTGAAGGGGTTTGAAGAGGTTGACGAACGAAAGTCGGCACAAGAGGTGTCGTTCACGTTCCTCAAATATGTCGACCAGTGTGCCTACCCCAGTTCCTGCTTACACCGCGGCGTTTTACAGCTGCGGCAGGATGCAATGGCTGGCGGCAATCTCCAGGTCTTCGCATGAAGCTTATTGTGTCTTTTCTGCTGCTTAACACATTTTAGGTAGGTCGATCGTACCCTTCCAGAACCTGATTCGTCAACGACTGGAACTCCCAGCATGACTTTTCGTGGGCGCGGGACAACCAGGATCGAGAACGTGGTAGCTCATGGAGGATGCCGCGTGACTGATTTCGACTTCGCAGTTTCATTGGCCTTGCTTCGCTCAATGCAGGAATTTGAGGAGTCGACGTGGCGTCTGGGGACTTCTGGTGACGATGTAGGCGTCGTCTACCTGTCCTCCAAGTGCCACTGACATGTTGCCGCAGGGAAAAGACTTGCTATGGCATTATGCTACGTTTCAACATGCGTGCTGGGATTGTCTTTCCTTTCGCCGGGCGTATCTCCTCGGAATGAGGCCCGTAGCGCAATGTGCGTAAGCAAGATCTGCTGTAGACTAGAGTTTGGTGGTCTGATCTGGAGACAACAAGCCGAGGAATAGAACAAGAAGTATTGAGGAAGCGCTCACAGTGCAGCTTGATCTACAGCATTAGCACGAAAGCTTGTTCTTGGTGCGGATCTTTGGTTCCAGCCACGTGAAGTCTGCAAGCCGCATCCCGCTCGTGGCGCTTGCTGGTTCGAAGCATGGCAAACGATGGACTCCAATCGGCGAGAATCGATAGTGTCCCTCGCCAAGCAGAAATCGGGGAGTGACTTCCTCATCATGCATGAATAGAGGGAATATGCGATTCAGCTTCGATGCGTCCCCAATGCGATGAGAATGGTGGGGACAGCTCAAGCTAGACTTTTGACAGAAGTGGTTGCCTACTGCGCAGAGGTTGCCGAATGTGGTAAGACAAATCCATCTTGGCCAATTGCAAATCAGCAATTAGCAATGAGGCCTCGGTATCCCTACTTGCCCTACCATAGAGAAGTAAAGTTTGTTCTTACTTCATGCCCATGGTGGTCGTTCCTCCAAGACTGGCGCATTGTGTTTCGAGGGAAGTCTGCGTGCAGGCATGCATTTGTCGTCAAGATCAGCGCAGACGCTGACAAGCCAGCACAGCAAGATCAACCCCAGGAGAAAGAGCAGCATGCTGCATAGAGCGACGCAAGGCAGCGATTCTCAAAGTTTCATTGCTGGAATGCTAGGTCGAATTCCAGTGTGAAAGTTATCGCTCCAAGTTGCCTACGTTCTGCCTTCCAACAGGCTGTGGACTAGAATTTTCTTCTGCGCGAAGTCTCTTGCTCCAGGAACCGTCTCCATAGGTCCTGCAGTAGCCTCTGCCTTGCAGTAGGCCCGCTGGTCGTGGAAGCTCGGTGCCGCGGTAGGCCTTCGAGACTCAGCTTCTTGACTAGTCGCTGTATTCAGTTTTGGACAAGATCAGCATGATTGCGAGCTTCAGAAGGACCTGGACCAGCTTTCCTCATCTCATGTTGGGATTGGGGTCAAGTGGCAGCCGCTTCATTGCTTGTAATCGCTCAGTCCTGCTTCTCGGCTTCGTGTTGGGAATTGATCCTGATCTTGTGATGTCCATTGCCTGCGCTGAGCAGCATCGGACTCACTGCAGGAAGTCTTGTATCCTTCTGGACCGATTCCATCATCTGACCACAACAATGTATTCCAAGCATTCCTCTCTCGTTCTCGATCAAGCGCTGTGCGAGAATCAGCCAGCTTAGTCAACGAACAAAGCGGTCGGCGGGAGTAGTCGCATTGTCCTCCTGGCTGCTTCTTTGTAACCGCTCGGCAGGAGCAAACACTGTCATGGGTATTTGGTGCGCTCCCCGCATACCCTTTCAATGTTATTCAGCCAATAATCAATGTATCATCCCCTGCTGAACATACATATATCCGCATACAATATATCTTGCATATTCTCACTGTCCTTCGGCCCTAGCAGCCACGGCCAAAGCCACGCCAGAGAACCTCGCCGCTTTCTTCAAGAGGTACCGTGCTGAGCAAGCAGTCGAGAATGCGAGGTGAGCAGAGATTGAGTGCCCCGCTGAAGCCGAGTTTTGCTTCAAGTACAGGAAAGTGGAGAGCGAAGAGTGGCCGCTTAAGCCCTGCGGCGGTTGCAAGCTGGCCAAGTACTGCAGTGAGTTTCGCCGTTTGGGAAGGGACGCGTTTCAGGAGCCGTCCGGCTGACTGTAAATGCAGACAAAGTGTGTCAATCGGAGGACTGGAACATGCACAAGACGCTTTGCAAGATTTTTGGTGGCCAGCAGTGAGCGCGAAGGACCACGACCGTTCTGTCAGACGAGTCTTCGGCGTCACAGGGGCTGTACGACACCGATTCCTCCTCCCCTGCGGCAAGGACAAGGTGGAAAGCCTGCCAGTCAAAGTCTGTCTCACTCCGCTCTTTCAGCACCTATGGCCTCCTCCTAGCATCGCGCTCGGGTCTTGACGGCCTTGCCTCGCTCACTAACAACCAATTCTTGCAAGCCGTCGTTGTCGTGTCTGGGCTGGCTTCTTGTAACTCGTCGAGGGGGTTGAGCAATGGACGAACCAGCAAGCTCGGGCTTCCCTGGCGTTGCTCAACGTCTGAACGTGAGACGATGGATTGGCGCTCGAGGTCTGGTCCATAGACATGATGGTTGACCGTACGGATCTTGAGAGGCTCGATTGTTGCGGTCAGCGGCGATCTGTATGTGCACAGCAGGCTGAGCGCCGTCATCGATAGCTCGAAGTCGTTGTGGTGGTTTGGACGTCGATTGACGGCGTCGGCGGTCAAAGGACCGTTGACAAGTGAAAGTTGAAGCATTGTTTGCTCCGCCGCACAAAGCCTTTGTCTGCGAATTTCCTCCCGCCGACAGCCCCAAGACAACAACATCAATCGCGCCGACTCTCGCGTTCTTCAGTACATACAGCCGCCGCTTCGAGTGCCTCTGCATCCATCAAACCATCCAACCCACCTGATATCAACAAGCACAATGGAGGCGACCAAAATGCCCATTATCCCACTTCCATCGATTGCCCGCAGCCCAGCAAAGCGCGGATCTCGCACATATCATCCCCTCCGCAAACTCAAGCACGAGCAGGAAGACCGCGCCACCAGCACGCTACTCGGCACCTTCTCCGCCCACTCAACGATCCTCGGAGTCATCGAGTTCATCGAAACGATCCTCCACCACCACCAACGCCTGGGCACAGACCTCACCACCCAGCAACGAATCCAAAGCGGCATCGCAAGACTGAAGCTCGGCGCAACGTTTGTCATCCCCAGCAGGAAAGGCCCTCCCCGGCTGAGAATCGGCAGCTGGGCCCAGGGGTTGCTCCCAGGCAGGATGGTTCAAGCTCTCATGTTTACGGGGAAAACGTTCTTCGTGATGAGTGGTGGGAGGTTGAATTGGAAGATAGTGGAGCACGCTTGTATGTTGATGAGGATCGACTATGATCCGAATCAGAGGGGGGTGTTCTATTGCGTGACGGAGCACTGCGTGGCGCATGATGCGGTGTTTGAGATGACTCTGGAGTGGAACGAGAGGATGGAGGGAACTGATGCGGTGATCGAGGAGGTCAGTGATGATGAAACGGAGGAGTGAGTGGATGTGTTTGGGAGGAGGATTGGTATGTTAGAGGATGGATGACACCCCGGGTGGCATTTCGGCCGGTACTTTGGCTTTTTCATGATGCATATGAGCGTTTCTCTTTCTTTCGCTCCAGCTCTGAGGTCCTTCATGGACCTTTGTACATCATCGTGGAATGAAGAGCGGTTCTGAGGCAGTGCATCACAAATAACGCTGTGATCGAACTCTCGAATCCAAAGTCGTCGTTGTCCCGAATGCCTCTGCTTGGCTTAACCGCTCCAAGGTATTAAGACAACTGATCAGATTAGTGATGCTATAGACCTGGGTCCAGAGCTCGCTGTGGTACTCGCTGCGAGTGTGAGTCATTCAGTTCCAATTTGCCGCTCTTTATCGAAATTTGGCCCAATGTAAGCATACTTCCTAGCTTTTGTAAACTCCATCCAAGCCTGCCTCTTTTTATCGCAACTGTTCTATAGTACTGCGCAGGACTGAGCAGCCAAGGAAGACATAAGCTTGACTTTGGAGCATTTTGTAATATTTGATGCCGTAGTAGACCTCCCGACTCCAGACATACTCAACGCGCGAGAGTCTCCGCCCAACGTGGGTGCTCCAAGGACTCCATGCAAAATATGGTGCTGGACATGATTAAGTATCTCTTCCAGAGCGAATCTCGATCATCGCAGCGTGTCAAAGTGGTTTCGATCCAAGCCAGTGTTATGATTGGAACTTCTGTCAATAGCAAGTTGTTCCGAGGCACTAGGAATGATGCAGTACCTAGCAGCCCAAAGTTATGGCTTCGGAGGCGACTGCCAACTCCTTCGAAGGCAAATTCTTCGACACCTGGCAGACAGCGGTGTCATCACACAGCAAAACTTTGAGGACCTGCCCAACAAAGGCTTCAACCTGTTCTGTTGGTCGTCCCATCTATGACCCTGGCTGAGCGCGGTGGTGACAAGGGTGACGAGGAAGAACCGAGCAAGCAGCATCGCTTAGTATCATGCCGCAAATTAACAGTGCCAGAATCTGTAGCTTGTACGGTGCTTTGTCGCTTGTCGTTTCAAACGGAACGAGAGAGTCTGAGCTGCCTTATATCAAGTAGGCCTGTCACGGGCTCGTTCTGTCAGTGTCGAGACAGCCGATCCCGATGATATAAACTTTCTTAGTCGACCTAGACCGATGCTGCAGCTTCAGTATCCATTGCTCGGTATGCTGCCACCGAAGCACCTGACCGTCGCCACGAAGCAAAGCTCTTGAAGGAGGAATCGTCAGAGCTGTAGACGAAGAAGAAGGGCGAATAGATGAACAGTCGGCGGAACGATTGATCTGACGACGACTTCACCACTGCCCGCCCGCCGGCGCGCCGTAGTGACTGTATAGTAGCGTTGAAAGCCGTCACCCGTTAAACATATGGCGCGCCAGAGTGAAATCGGTTGTGTTCGCTCCAAAAGTCTTCAATGATGCGAAATCACAGCATACCGATGCCCAAGAGCGTCCAGCATGCTGAGCTCGCGGAACGATGTGGCTGGTTTCTCCTGTCCCCAAAATCCTTCTCTTGTGCGAAAATTACCTGTCTGGAGCTTCGTGGCCTTGGAATCGTTGAATTTGGCGGAGAGGCGAATGCGATTCCAGTTTGACTCCCGGCGTCCACGACAGAATTTCATGGTCAGGGGGACATTCGTTGCCGCTAAGGTCTTTCCATCGTTGAAAGCAATGAAGCCTGGCGACTTTCTTCCATAGCAGCTTACCATTCGTTTTATTGCTGATGTTGACGGCCATGAGTTCGGAAGCATCATTGTGCGCTGAGATCCGGCCATTGCAACGACCGTCGCGATGCTGAATGTGAAGTAAGCGACCATTGAGGGGAGCGCGCTCCTATCTGCGCACTGCGTAGGACGAGCGTGCGTCTCTGCTCATCGATGCGCGTCGGGGGCCCCAGATCTGGCGATCAGCATGCATTCGATCGCATCGATTTTCAGAGACAAGTGGAGGATCTGAAGTGCGAGTCTGCAAATGCCAGCGCCAAGCCATATCGTCTGCCGGACAGGGATAGTTCTGGCTTCACTTTTGTGTTGACAGCTCTGCCTCGCTCGCCAGTTCTCTGCTCGTCCACCCTTTGCCCTGCCCCTGCCCTCGCACCTACCGACGCGAACGAAACCAGACGACACGAATCCGCAGAGATGGCAGCGGCAAAGACGACAGAAGAACTCGTGACCGAGATCCTCGCCGCGCACGCAGCAGCAGGTTGGCCGGCTCCCACACCACCACCACCACCACCACCGACATCTCTGCTGCCGCCGCCTCCTCGGAGGCAACAAATCTTCACAGACGGCTCGTGGGGAAAGCAGAGCACGTTCGGCGGCTGCGCTTTCGTCGCCTTTGTGCGGCAAAGCAACCGATGGCAAGGGATGGCGTTCACCCTCGTAAGTCCATTTCCGTTGCTCACTGACTAACCTCTCAATGTCTCCATTCTTCAAACATAAATCAAAGCCACTGACGCTCCATAAAAGGGCAGAATACCAGATAGCCTGACCGCAGAAATCGCCGGCATCTCCTTCGCCCTGAGCTGGGCAATCGCGAACAAAGACCTCCCTTGCGACGAGTGGATGATCCGCACCGACTGCAAGAAAGCCATCGATGTCATTGGCGAACAACTCCGAGCCGACAGGGAGGGGGAAGACCTGGTTCGCTGCGGCGACGACCTATTGGAAGCAATCGTGTGGAAGGCGAGAACACTGCGAAAGATGGGAAAATCTGTGCGAATGACGTGGATCCCGGGCCACACAGTCGAAGATGATAGCGAAGCCGAAGGCAACCGGATTGCGGACGATTGGGCGTTGAAAATGTCGCTTTTGTCGGAGAAGAGAAATCTTGGGCTCGGACAGCACCAGGAGGAGTTTTGGGAGTATTCGGAGCATTGACCACTTTTTTTCCTGGGCTGCCGTTTCTGTTAATTCTTCTTCTGAACGAAACAACCATTGCAGGGCTTACATATCGACCCAACTGGCCAGTCATGCCGCTTCGAACGCTTCGAAACCACTCTTGATGTCCTCTTCGCCAGCTGCCCTCCGTATAAATCTCGCAGTCTCTGCCGGCAGACTTAGAAAAGGGGAATGGCCAGCCTCCGCCACTTCAACAGAGCCAATCTGGCAGCCCGCAGCCTTTAAACCCTTCACCGTACCCTCTTGCGCCGCCCAGGGAACAGCATTATCCTTGCTGCACATCAAATAACTCACAGGTACACCCTTCAGCCCAGCCACCTGATCAGGCATCTTGCTCGTCAGCACGCCATACGACTGCGGCTTGAGACGCCAGACAGCCTTGAGTGCTTCATTGATCTCGAGATCATTGTACAAGATATGGATAGCACCAGGCCCGGCAAAAGGAAGAGTTGTATCGTTCTCGACATGATATTGCGGCGGAAGCTTGCCAGCCATGGCATCGAGCATTGTGAGTCCAGGTGAGAGCAGAAAGCCAGAAATGATTACAACGCCTGCAACGCCGTTGCTCTGGCCTGAAGCTTTGCGCGCTGGCACGCTGAGTTCGGAAAGAGCTGCGGTCCCGGGGATTGAGCCATAAGAGTGAGTGACGATAAGTACGTCGGTCGTACTGTGAGTATCCAGTTCGGCGAGGACAGCTTTGCGGACGGCTTGTAGGTCATCGGAGATATCAAGAAGGCGGCCATCGATAACTGGATTGAGAGTATTGGCTGGCAGTTCCACGCCTACACAGCGATACCCTGCAGTCTCCAGCTCAACGCGGACTTTATTGAAATGCTCGGGTACATGCTAACTCTGTCAGCTCCCATTCTGCCATCCTTCTCTCTTGATACTGATGAGCTTACCCAGGCACCTGGTACAACGACGATGGTAGGCTTCGACATGTCTCGATAATCGAAGGATCTGTAGTATCAATGAGACAGAAACCAGCAGTGGGCAGGCTTGACCTTTTGATGCTGGATTTGTAAGATATAAATTGTGAATCCTGCAGGATCTCTCAGCCGCAGAGATGGTTTCAATACTTACCGAACGGTCTAGCACTAAGCGGCGCTTCATCGAAGCTGGACCGAAAGGCGTGATCAGAAGTTTGAAGCCCTCAGACACCAAATGTTGCTGATGTTACACGATACAGCATGCTTCACTGCCTGGAAGCTGCGTACGCTTAACGCAAGCTGGAAAGCGCTGGATAATCTCCATGCCAGGAGATATAGCCACCGATTCATCACAGCTTTTCCATGCGAGAGGCATTTGTTCCGCTGATAAGTGCTTTGGACCGAATGGCCATTGCGGCCAGCATGGGAGGAATTCCAAGTACGACAGCAGCAGGAAAGGAGTACGCCGTACTGCTTTTCCGGATGGTGGGTCGCTTTTACGGCCCAGCATCAAAGGCGTGGGATGCGTCTAACAGCATAGCAAGGAGGCTGTGATGGTAGCTTGTCAAGGAGAAAGGAGTGGAAGGTGAAAGGTGAAGTGGAAGAAAGAGCATGGATGTGTCACAGCAGACCGGCTTCCCTAATTCGGACTGCCGCCGGGCGCAATCTCCTCCAAGTTTTTTGTCTGGCTTTCCAACTCCAACATCACTTCTCTTTCAATGCTGTGGAACAATGATACCTCGAATCAACAGCTCTCATTTCGCTCATAGTGTGCCGGAACCTGCAATCTCTTCACTGGAACGATGACCCGGCGACGATCTGGACTGGTTTGAAAGACTTGCAGATGGAATGCCCCAATGTTCAACACAATCTCAACGTGAATGATGGGATACCATGAATCAGATCTCGCACATTATTCATGCAGATGCTTACTACAGGCTCTGTTGGTTCCAGCATGAAGCCAAAGCAAGAAGTGCACTAGTGCTGCCAGGACAGCACGCTCCACGCCATCATGAGTAGAAGCATCATGAACGGTGAGTCCGGCCGCGGGACAAGGACTGGTGCCAATATCGGAAAATGAACACCTCTTGTTGAGCATCAGACAGCGATATGTTTGTGGCAAAGTGTACTTTGTTGTGTCTATGTCCACAGAGCGAGCAAGATCCAACAATTAGCCGCATACCTTTCTTCATACGTTCCGTCGGCGCTGAACTCCATTCATGAGACCGCTTCTTACGGCATCGGACGAACAGTGGGAGCTCCGACGAGCAGGCTGGTTCGCTTCGATGTACGTTGCCACTGCCATGCCGTACATTCGGTTATCCTGTGGCCCCGGGCTCGTGGCAATCTTGACAGCATCACTCTTCGTGGAAGCCGGCAGGTGGCAGCTGTGGCAATTGCGCAGGTCCGAGACACAATAGTCAATATTGCTCGGCAGTTCTTGATCAGAGCTGGATGCAACAATATGCACAAACCCGTACATTCTGGATCGTCTAGCGCTTCTCCGATGACCTGGAGTGCCTTATTGCACTGAACCGACGACAACGACGACACTAATGCGTCCATTGGTCACCTTAATGGTGCTTTCAATTTAACGAGGGCGAGCTCAATGACCCGCAGCAGGCTAATGAGTGCAGAATGGAGATGAAGCCATTCGGCAAAGAGAAGCTCAGCGTTCCATTCCTGCTCCCAACCCGTGTATGCGCAAGTTCGACATTGTCCATTCGTCCTGCCGAAGGGTCTCCGCATTTCAGCCTATGCAAGCGCATTGCGACACTTTACCGAATAGACGAGTTCCCCAGACAAATCCAGACTGATGCTCTCCAAGCCGGATGAATGCAGCAACGGTGCAGCTGTAGCGCCGATCATGCGCATTTTATCCGGGACACAACACATGACAGCCGCTACAGCAGGTACCCGATTGGACCTGCGACCTTCCCGTTTGGGAGGGCATTTTGGCTTCTCCTCACAGAATCGCACTTGGCCTTCGACCACACCACGTGTGGATCGACCGCGGCTAAAGTTGGGGGCGCAAGCGAATGGAGGACACATCTACCATGATGTATACTGGGCGGAGAGTTTATATTGACCTCGACTGCTCTCCGAGATGGATCTCAGCTACAGCCCAACCAGTGTTCAGACTTCTTCCACGCAATGCATATTCAAGAATCTTTCGTGGCCGCTCTGACCTTGGCAGGAACAGCTTCGGCGGCGCCCAAGCCGTACGTATGACTAGTTCTATTGTACTACTCACTGCTAACACTGCCTCAGAAGCAAGAAAGGACTATGGACTGCTATGCGAAGCCGTGGCCGAGAATGGATCGGCACAGCTCTGACCCTCCGTGGCGATGCCGCTGAAGAAGCAGTCGTTGGCAACCCTGCCGACTTCAACAGCATCACACCCGAAAATGCTCAGAAGTGGGAATCGATCGAGCCTTCCCGCAACAACTTCACTTTTGCGGACGCAGATCGCCATGTTGAGTGGGCAATGTCGAGAGGGTACAAGGTCCACTGCCACAATCTCGTCTGGCACAGCCAATTGCCCGCCTGGGTCTCCGAGGGTGGCTTTGACAACGCTACTTTGATCTCCATCATGGAGAACCACATCAACAAGCTGGCTGGCAGATACCGAGGGAAGTGTGCGCAGTGGGATGTCGTCAATGAAGGTAAGCAAGTTCCAAACCTTGCTAATATCGAGCTGATAGCTGACGGCTTTTGGTGACCAGCCCTCAACGAAGACGGCACCTACCGCGAATCCGTTTTCTACAACACCATCGGCGAAGCCTACCTCCCCATGGCCTTCCGCATGGCCCGCAAAGCCGACCCTCACGCCGAACTCTATTACAACGACTACAACCTCGAATACAACAATGCTAAAACCCTCGGTGCTCAACGTATCGTCAAGCTCATCCAATCTTACGGCGTCAAGATCGATGGTGTCGGACTGCAAGCCCACTTGACTGCCGAACCTACTCCTTCTGCTCCTACCGGAACTACACCTAGCCAAGATGTTCTGGAGACTGTTCTGAGAGGTTACACCAAATTGGGCGTTGATGTCGCTTACACTGAGATCGATGTGCGATATTCTACTCCTGGAAACGCTACTAGTGTGGCAAATCAGAAGAAGGCTTATGAAAGGATTGCCGCGAGCTGTTTGGCTGTGAAGAGGTGTGCGGGGATGACTGTCTGGGTGAGTACTTCCCTGCAACATTTCTGTCTTTGAGAAATTGATTGTGCTGACTTTGTTGTGCTATAGGGTGTCAGCGACAAGTACTCTTGGATTCCTGGCGTCTTCCCTGGCGAGGGAGAAGCTAATCTTTGGGATGAGAACTTCCAGAAGAAGCCGGCTTATGATGGGTTCTTGAAGGGTATTCAGACTGGTGGGAAGAAGTAGGGACGCCGTTGGAAGACCTCCTGCTCGGACTTGAGTATTCGATTCCGCAGATCATATACGCAACTACGAAATGACACGGAACGCTTGTGCAAAGCTCGGCCATAGAGCCGGTCCAGTCATTGTCTTCATTGTCTTCGATGCCTGTGTTGATCAACACACTGTACTAACTGCCAGCTGATATCTAAGCCCGATCACACTAATACAAGGAACAAATTGACCGCGGACAGCAGCTCACAGAAAGCAGAAGTCGAAATCACAGCAGAAGTGTGAAAATGTGTGCTCAGTAAGTCTGTTCTCGAACGTTCAAGACAACCTTACTGACTCGTGGGATGAGCAGTCGACAGCAAACTTGCATCGTCTGGCATTGTGCAAACATCTGACCACTGCATGCTATAAAGCGTCGTCTTTGTACATCATACGCGGTGGAATCACGCATGTCTCGATCAGACTATGCTGTCTTTGATGGGCCTGAGACACAGCAATCAAGATGTCCTATGAAAACTTCTCCTTCGCGCTTACCTGCAGATGTTCTATGCATGGTCTAACAATCTATACTTCTGGTCTTCGGGAACTTATACATCATCGTCTTTTCCACTCGCATAACGATACCAAGACTCATTTCTTCTTCAGGACTTCCTGGACGGGCCGTGGATATTGAAGCAGGACCGAGTGAATCGTCGGTAGCCGGCACGTCTCGTTCACTTGTTGGTCACAGCGTTTCGAGATCTAAAGCCCAGCGGCGGCTGCCCTTCTTCAACATGTACACACCACCAGCGACTCCACCACTTTCGACTTCAGCACTTCCGACTCAACGACTATTAGCTCCGCTTCCACCAAAGCCGCCGCTCACATACGCTCAAGTCATTGCTTCATCAACCAGCCACGCCGACAACACAGACGAAATGGCTGCTTTCAACCGAATCGACGCTCTCCTCAACGGCCTCCACTTCACGGACGCGGACGTTCTCGTACAGTTCGGCGAAGCACCTACAGAGCACGCACATGTACACAGCAGCCTGCTCGCAGCTGAGTGCCCAAACTTCGATGTCCTCGGCGCACCAATAAGCTTCGAAGGCATTCGAGTCTTCGCCGTAGCGTTCAAATACGGCACTTGCACACTCGAGCCACTGACGACCTGGAGCGTACTCAGCACAGACGCAATGTGCCACCGCTTTCACGACTCGAGTCTCGCACCAGAAGGCTGGTCGGATGCTCGAGACGACAGTACTTTCAAGGGTCAAACCGCGCGCAATCAGAATTTGTACGCCAAGCGGCAGTATATTACCATCCTGAAGATACTGTACAAGATCCCGGTCTCGCTCGACGACCTCGAGCCATATGCTTCGAGGGATACTCCTGTCGCTCGGCTACACTCTATTAGCACATCAGCTATGGAGACCTGCGCGCGCGCTGAAGCTCTTGGCTGCTTAGAAAAGGTCGCCGATGTACTGATTGGCCTGCTACTCGAGTCTCCTCTTCTTGGCCAGTGTGTCGCCCAAACGCCAGTGAAGTTCATCAAGCTGGCACAGAAAGTCCGATCGAAGAAGCTTTATTTCATCGCCACGCGATATATTGCTCCTGACGCGAAGCTGACGAGGAACTGGTTCGATGAATCGACATATTACGATATCAACAATGCAGACCTGAACACTGCATTGACTGGTATATTTGGCAAAGAGTCTGCTGCGGCGAAGAAGTTGCTGGAGTCTCTGCTGGATATACAACTCTGCCGGCAACACATGTCGAACCACATCGAACCACACCTGCGGCAGTACTCTGGCCCATGTTTCGAGTGTATGGCTCGAACACACTTTGCAGAATGGCTGGCAGAGAGCCTTGACCAACACTCCAGCAATGTCTCCGCCGACCACAGCGGCCAGACAACGCTGGGTGCCCCCACTTTCGAGGCCACACTGAGGCAAGTCCTGCGGTTCGCTGCCACAGCAATGCCCTTCCAGATCTTCGGAGTAACGAGCAATGCACACAAGATGCTCGCTGGTGAACTGGGGCTTCGTGATGATCAGCGTGTCGAGAAAGGCGTCAAGCATTATCTCGACCTATGCATCAAGGAGGCTGCCACTGCGATCGAGCAAGCCTTTGCGTCGTCGAAAACGGAGTTGACGGAGGTCAATTTCCCTGCTCTTGGAGGTGCATCTTCAAAAGCACCTCTACGAACTCAGCCACTGGCCTCCGTCGCCTCAATTGTTGCGAAGCCCATCGCGAAGCAGCCACCGGATCACAACGCCGATGCTACATCGTCGAGCTACGCCCATCAGCAAAGCGACACCACGGCATCCGCTGGCGGTACTTCTGGCCCTACCACATCCTCGCAGCCGACCACAGCACCACCGCAGCCTCCCGTCCTACCAGGTCAGCAGGCGAGAAACATAAGCCCTGCAGCTAGCGACTTGCCACCACCTCTCCACTCCGATCAGCGAAAGGACGAAGTCAAGTGGCGATCTCTACAAGTAGCCCTTGCGGAGGATTCAGACCGCACGGACTACTTGGACGAAGGACGCCTGCCGCAGAGTCTCTTGGATGAGTTCGACGAGCCTAGCGACGAGAGGTGGAACAATGGACCACAACATTATCACCGATGTTGTGGAGCCAAGAAGGCTGCGGATGAGGCTGTTGGTGCACATAAGTGCAGGAAGGTCGACGTGAAGGCGTCTTATCACTGGGGCCTCGGGGGCAATGGAGGTAATGGAGGCATCTGGTAGAATGGCGACGAGGGATTGAGGTAGCTGGCGGTATTTGAGTGAGTGGCTAGATAGTCAACGGATGGAGATGAATCATATGCGGCAGGCTTTGCTGAATTTCAGGAAGAGATCAAGAAATTGGGCATGATCAAGTACGCACGAGTGCGAGGTATGCTCTACATCAAAAGTTATGTCTGACAGTGGCTGACAGCTGCCCTTGTAGATATCATTGGGCCCAATGAGCTCTTCGTGGAACAATCATCAACTCTTCCTCAGCGCTTCCATGACTATCCACCAGAAGAAACAGAGAAGCGAGCATTGATGATGAAGCAGGCCATGCACCAGGCTCTGAGAGTTGAGTGCGGAGCCGATGCCAGCGTAGACCGGATCACACAATACCAAAACCTTGCGGGTCTTGGCTCACACGATCTCTCCGCCATGCGAGAGATTTTGGGTGAGCCAGTTGGTGTCTCTGGAATAGCGCTTGGAAACGACTTCTGGAATGTACTCTTTGGCTACCATGGGTTTACAACGTCCTACGAATCAGGGTTTCACAACATCCCAATCTTTGACGCACATATAGAAGTTTGCGGAGCCGATAAGCTTGTGCGGATGAGTTGGGACACTCCATTCATTCGTGGGCTTCCTGTCACTATCACGACAAAAGAAAATGTCAACGGCGGCTTAGTAGAGACAAATGTCCGCAAGACATTCGAGGACCCCTTCATTCTCGAGCTCGATGAGCTGTATATGATGGTCACGGAGGATAAGGCTCCTAAGACATCTGCGGAAGATGCTGCAAAGGACATCGAACTTTGGCAGATGATCATTCGCGCTGCCGCAAGAGATCATCCGAGCTGATGAAAACTTGGGCAATTCACAAAATACAAAACAAGTGATCGAATATATGGGGCTGACAGTAGCATTTGCCAAAGTCCTTCATCCTTCGGATGGCCATGCCGCTCTACGAACACCAACCATAAGACGGCCGGACTTAGGGCCGCCCACGTAACCCTCCATATGCTCAATTCCATTGTCATCTACCACGAATGTCTCGAAGTTTGAGTATATCAGCAACAGTACATACTTCATCACTGTGATAATTATTAGCATAGAAGTCTCCAAGATACAAAGAATACACTAACCAAGCTGCGCAAAGTGGCTTCCGAGACACATTCGCCCGCCTGAACTGAACGCCCAGAACCATCTCATCTTTTGGTCTGGAACGTTCGGGTCGAGCTTTTCCAGCCACCGCTCAGGATACCAGGCCAAAGGCTCAGGGAAGACTTCGTGATTGAGATGCAGAAACCGAGCGTATGACTGCGCTCTGCAGCCTCCGGGTATGTTGTCATACTCCCCAAGTGTGCTCGTCTTGCCGAACGGTGTCACACGGGCTTGTCCACCTGCTACGATGGGTTGGACTCGCATTGTTTCCATCATGATGGCATGCAGCAATGGTAGCCGATCAATCTCGTTGGCTGTTGGAAGTGGAGTCGCGGAGCTGACATGCACGTTGTTTCCTAGTAGTCGACATTCATGCCGGAGTCTGTCTTGCGTTCCCGTGTTTCGGGACAGTTCCCAAATGGCATAGGTCAATGTGATGGAGAGAGTCTCGTCCGAGGCGTGAATTTGATCGCCCACTTCTGCCGCAATTTCCAGTTGCTGCGGTGAGCACGAGATTGTTCCACTATCGCGAAGCCTAGAAGATGCTCTCAGGGATGGCAGGGTGCTTATGCCTTCCTTATCTAAGGATCTCTTGAACTGTTGATATACTGTTGGGACATCCTCTGCTGTGGCCGTTGCATGAGCGTCGACTAACGCAGCTTCAGCACGATGGCACATCTGGATGCAAAACACATGTAAGGCTTCCAGGCTCTGGTATCGCTCCTTGGAAAGAATACCGACTCGTTCCAGGAAGTCGACTGTCCTTGGAAACTCGTGTAACCAGAACATCATTGGGTAAGGTCTGCCAGTATGGATCCTCTCAATGCATTTCGAGTGCTCTGTACTGTTGTTCAAGAAGTTTGTGGCGTTTCCTACGCCAAATGTGTATCCAAGCACCATATCCAATGCCAACGCGGAAAGAATCTTCATTGTATCAAATGCCTTCTCCTCCCGAGCACAAGCGGTGATCAAGGTGAGAAATCGTTGTCGGACGACTCGGTCGATAAGGGCTACCACTGCTGGCGATGAGTGCAGATAGGACTTCGAATACACATGAGTGATCCTTTTCTTCCGAATCGTGTGAGAGAAAGCATCGAGGCTCGAGGATAGATTCTGCCGTCCGCAATCTTCATATACGCGGTAAAAGTCGTGCCTGTCAAAGTTCCTCCCATAGACTGTTTTGACGCCATCCTCAATGCAATTGATCGACAGTTCGTTCGGTCCTAGACGTACAACTCCGCCATGTTTGTTGTGGGCAGCGAAAACGATTGCATTCTCACAGTCCCAATATCGTACCCATAGCATGTATAGCCCTGAGATCTTGGCCAGAGGGTGTACTGCCGGTATTCGTGCAAGTGGGCTGAGTAACAGCGGATATAAGAGAAACTTGTAAAGTGCCACGAAGCTTACGACTGACAGAATGAGTCCTGTCAGAGCCATCTCGTGTCGAAGGTGAGGTAATGTCCCGCAACAATGCAATAAATTTGTTCAAATCGATCCTGAGCCTGGAATCTCCAACATACACTGTTCGCACTGCCCTAGGGTGGCGGTCAACTCGAACAGATCTCATCACAGAGCTACGACAACAGTGCGGTACTGGTGGCTCCCGCTGATCGAGGCCGAATGACTGCGCATCTACCATTCTATCGTTCTCGTGAACGCTGACAGGTCGATAAAGCTCGATCAGTGCTCTTGCGTGCAGAAGTTGGAACTCTAGGCACGCCTAACAACGCACGCTATCGTGCCATCATTCTCGCTCGCTTAAGTGCGTGCAGCGCTAAACTCTTCTTCTTGTGACAATGTGGGACACGCACGTGTTTCCAGTCTCGCATCGTGCGGAGTAGAAGCTTAGAATGGAGAATGTATTTGCCATGTTGTCGACCTCGGATGTTTCCGGGCGGAGACCCAACGGAGTTCCGGTAGGATTCATTAGCTGTAAATCTCACACTGACGACGAACAATTGGAAAGTACCCTGGTAAGTGCATCGTAGCATCGGGCCCTTTCCTACACACCGCCATCTCCGCCATCATGAGCTGCACTGTCGTGTTCAAGGATGCCCAAGATCTGTTGCGAGCATTTGCGGTACCACACGGGCAATCGAAGCTCCATGGTCTCTGCGGGTGTAAGACTGCGGACTCGAAATCTGCCCAAAAGCCTGGCATTCATGCAGAATGGTGCAGATTTTGATGATGGTCGGTTGGCATTTTTGAGACGTCCGATTCCACACACAGCGAAGTGGCCATGCTTAGACCATCATGAAGCTGTTCATGAAACAAGAGGAGGCTATTGAACCAGAATCTGCTTGCGAGGAGTTGAGGTCGGTTGGAAAGTACAAGATTCGAAGAACCGCAGCTCCAGTACCGAAAGTCGCCATTCACTCAGGTTCCGCTTACGCCAGGATTGTGCACGCACTTGTTTGCTTCAGCTGGCTTGTGCACTACGGTCTTCGACTCTACGATCCTCTTCGAGCTGATGCAGATCTACATTCACGCGGAGAATGGGTTACCTGGCTTTTCTTGGCATGCGAGGCGATTATGGCCGGTCCAGAATTATTCCAGGTCATCGAGCTCAGTCTTTCCATACTACCGGGCAGTCGAGATGCTCCGAGAGCACAGTACCGTCTGGATGGCACAGATGCGCCTCTCGTACATGTCTTCATCACGTATGCTATGGCTTGTCAAATCAAAGCTGGCTCGTGCCTGCTGACGACTGAATAGCACCTGCGGCGAGAGTCCTGCGACTGTGATGAGTACGCTGGCAGGCGCAGTCGCACAAGATTATCCTGCGAAATGCTATAGGGTCTTCGTGCTGGATGATGCTAATGATCCCAAGCTCAAGCTGGAAGTGGAAAATTTCAACAGAAGCATATCCAACAAGCTCAGCGCGCAACCCGTCGTCTATTTGGCCCGACAGAAGGATTTGGCTACACGTCACTATCACAAGGCGGGCAACCTCGACTTCGGCATCAGAACAAGTAAGGAGGATTATGGCGGCTCTGAATTCATTGCAGGACTCGATGTCGACATGATCGTGGAGTCTGACTGGCTTTCACGGGTGGTCCCTCACCTCATACTATCTGCCGATCTAGCCGTCGTGAGCCCTCCACAATCTTTCTACAACGTACCAGACAAGGACATCCTCGCCCAGGACGCGAGTGTCCTGCAACAAGTCTTGGAGCCAGCACGAGACCGCATTGGATGCAGTATGTGCCACGGTTCAGGTTACGTGATGCGGCGTGCAGCATTGGAGAGCATTGGGGGCTGGCCACTCGTCAATATCGGAGAGGACATCCTATGCTCATATCTACTCAATCAGGCGGGCTGGCAGACGGCGTTCATCGAGGACGAGCTACAATTTGGTGTCACTTGTGAGTCGTTTCATGCCTATGTTTCGCAGCGGATGCGCTGGGTAAGAAATTCTCTTATGTATCTACATGGTTCTACCTGCTTACAACGCCGCAGACCGCGGGCAACCTGCTTAGCGCCCATCGCTTCTACTTCTTTTTGCCACACTTCACACACTCGCAGATCACTGTGGTCCAGAGGCTCCACGGAATTATGCAGTCCATCAAGACATATGCCTGGATTGCACTCATCGTGCCTATGGTCGCTCTGCCGCTTGGACTACCGCTCGCGAGGCCTCCCCTCGTGCCCAGGTCGAACATGTCACACAATATGCTGAGATTACTGAAATTTTCATACTTGGCGATGTGGCTCACGACAAAGGCCTGGAAACGCTTGAACTTCGGCCACGTCGGTGTGAGAAACATCTTCAATCTCTCCAACAATCGTTTGTGGATAACGCCATACATTGTCTGTGCCTATTGTCAATCGCTATGGTGCAACCTAGAGGAGATCGATTTTACAATTTCTGGTACTTTTCAATCGCCTCTGAACGAACGATCTGAGGAGAAGCGCCGAAGCCTATGGAAGAGGATGTCAGACCCGCTGATAATGCTGCACACGCTGTATTGGGTTTTTGCTGCTGTTGCCTTAATCACCCAACTCATCGCCATCGTATATCCGGCCGCGTATGGGCAGTCGCAGAACAGCTGTTACCTCACAGGGCTTATAATCCGCTTGTTCGAGATTGTGGTGGCTACTTGGGTGCCTGTCCAATGCTGGGTAAGGTATTCAGTACACAGCATTATCCTATCTAATTACTGACTCGAATATCGCAGACTTCTTCACGACGCTCTTGGTGGGTGGTTGCGTTTGCGTTCCATCTGAGACCGACCGAAAGAATGGTCTTGCAGCATTCGTCGAGAAGTCGCAAGCCAATTGGGCGTTATTGACTCCTGCCGTGGCCGAATTGTTGGATCCCGCGACTGTTCCGAGTCTCAAATATGTCACGTTGGGAGGAGATGCGATCAAGGAATCGACGTTGCGCAAGTGGCGGAAGTCGTCACGAGTCGGGATCAATTATGGATCTGCCGAAGTCGATGTCACTCACGCTCGAGACGTCTCTGATGAGACTGATATTCTGAACGTAGGACATCGCCTGCCGAGCTGCTTGGCCTGCATTGTAGACCCAGACGATCCAGCAGTCATTTTACCTGTAGGGGCTGTGGGAGACCTGGTTATCTCCGGGCCTACAATGGCCAGAGGATATCTCAACGCCCCTGTAAAGACGGCAGAAGTGTTTTTGCCGGTGCCTCAAGCATGGATCTCGCAGGGGTTGATCGAGAAACCTCACACACCATGGACTTCGCGTGCATACCGGATGGGTGATCTTTTCCGCCAGATGTCAGATGGTTCCCTGCAATTCGTCGGGCGAAAAGACTTTCAGGTCAAAGTCAATGGTGAGTATCAGCTTCACACAGGCTCTATTGATTGTTGATCTGATTTCTTGCGATAGGTCAGAAGGTTGAACTGGGAGATATCGAAAGCCAACTTTCCCGGCATCCCGATGTCAGCCACTGTGCTGTCATCTACCCTGCTGACGGGCCATATGCGAACCGACTGGTCGCTATCACACAATCAACGTGTGCGACCTCTCTGGCGAGTCGACATGCTCGTGCTGCCAACAAGACCGCCTTGACTTTGAGTTTGCCGGCTGTCACGGAGTACTTGCAGAATCTCATACCATCTTTCATGCTCCCAAGTGTATTGATCGTGGTTGAGACTATGCCATTCACGCCCACCATGAAAATCGATCGGACCCGTCTCAAAAAATGCCTTTCCGATAATGAAGTCTCAGCAGGCTCGGTGCCGGGCTTCATGCACGTCTCTACTGCTCTCAGTGGCACACGCCTTTTGCCATCCGAGAAGTCAGCCATGAAGGTGTCGAATTTGATTGCAGACATCATCTCTGCAGCAGGGTCGACGATTTGGAAATCCATCAGTGGGCATGATAATCGCTTGACTGACATCGGAATCAACTCAGCGCAAACTATGAGGCTTGTTGCTTTGATCCGGAAGCAGTTCGGTTGTAAGATCCTGTTCGAGACCCTCAGCCAACCTGGCATGACGGTAAGGCAGCTCGCAGTGCTTCTCGAAATCGAAAAGCAAGATTTGATTACAGATATGGCTGGCAATGATGTCGATACGAAGATTGAATTTCTAAAAGTACGAGTCGCAAGGCATACTGAAACAGTGCTGAACCCCAGTGTGGTCCAACCAACTCGTCCGCGGCATGTGTTCCTGACCGGAGCGACTGGATATCTGGGCGTACAGATCCTGTGCCAGCTTTTGTCATCGAGCAGCATTGCATCCATGACAGTACTAGTGCGGACTTCTAGACGAGAGCTGGCGCTGGAGCGGGTTCGTTTGGCCTTGACTGCTGCACATGCAGAATCATCTCATCAAATAAAGCTTAATACTTGGCCCGGAGACTTATCAAAGCCTAGACTGGGACTTTCCGATGCCGACTGGATGAGACTATCTGGAGAAGGCGACAAGATTGATGCTGGCGGCCCTCGCATTGACACAATCATCCATTGTGGTGCTGTCGTGAACTGGACGAAAAGCTACAGCGACCTCGAAGCACCCAACGTGCACTCCACTGAGGAGCTGCTGAAGCTGGTCAGAACGTGTCACCACTTGGAGCGATTTGTGTTTGTATCGGGAGGTCGATATCCCAACCCTGCACAAGACGCCGAGAAAGACCTCGAAGCCTTGTATACCGACGCCGCCAAAGACAACGGTTATGCCCAGACAAAATTTGTAGCAGAACGACTAGTGCACAACGTCCGATCCGCGCTTCCGGACAAGTCGATCAGCGTCGTCTGTCCTGCATACTTGATCGGTGGCCGGCAGCATGGTCTCGCGAATCAAGATGATTACCTGTGGCGGATTGTGTGGGCCACTGCACGAATCGGTGCATTCAACGCCGACGAACGTGACCAGTGGCTTTTTGTCGCGCAATCTGATGCTGTTGCTGAGCGGATTGTCGTCTTGACTTTACTCGACTTCAATTCTTCTTCAAGCACGACTTTGAACGTCCTGGATGGATTGAGCGTCGGTAAATTCTGGAGTATTGTCTCTGAAGTGCTTGCAATCCCGCTCATGGAGGAGACTGGAGATGTGTGGCTCCAAAAGGTGAAGTTCGACATGGAGGATACGAGCGACCACTTGCTTTGGCCGCTTGCAGACTCCCTGGAGTCTGGACGCGGATTGCTCACAAGGCGACGATGCCGCGCCAAGGACGTTGGTGCAGAGTCCGATTCGAAGGATGTCGAGGCGGCTGTTCGGGCGAACGTTGAATACCTGCACAAGGCAGGTTTCTTTACTGGTGTGAAGCCTGAGTAGAAAACAATAATGCCGAGGACCTATTGTTGCTGGCCGCCGTTTGCCATCACCAGTGACTCCCAGATTAGTGTACAAGTCCCTGAGCATCATTAAAGTCCTGGGCCACGGGAATGTGGCTGCATAGAACTTAGCAGGAGGACGCGTGGCAATCGGATGGGGGTGTTCGCAACACTTTCCATCCGTTCCGGATCCAGAGACCGACAGCGACAAAAATTAAACGTTCGATCTCGCTCTGCCGAGCAATAACGACCGATGTTTATCAGACCAGGCTTGTATCCTCAAAACCCTCTCTGTACAGACCTCGAGACAACTCGTCCACTTCCGCCGCTGGGTTGTGTTGTCAGCCCACGCATGGGCGCGACTCCCACTCCAGTGGTGACGATCTGCTTTCGTGCGAGTAAAGTCTTCATGCACGCAGTTGTGTAACTCTCCGTAAAAGCGTAGCAGTCGTCATCCGTTCGATTCTTCGCCCCGGTCAAACATCCTCCTGCTCCATTCTCGCCTGCCCGCTACTTTGAAACGCCAATCCTCCCCTGCCTGAACAGCGTGCAGCACGAGATTCTTTGTCGCCGAGATTTAATCGTTGCTTGAAGTAAGTCACCCCTTCGCGCACTTCTGCCCGGGAGAAGCTGCCTTGCCATCTCGTGAAGATGATAATAAATAGCAGCAAGAGTCCGAATGCATACATGAAGCCCAGTCCCGTCCCAGATCGATGCACCAACAGGAAGTCTTTGGGATCGCTTCCCGAAGTGCAATGCACAGCAAAAGCATCATCGAAGGTCAGGAATTCTTGGACGCAGGAGCTGAATTGAACTTGGGTCAGATGCGTGTGGCAGTAATGAAAACAGCCTATGGAAGTTTTCGCTTCTTTCAACTGGGCACTCTCAGCACAGCATTGCTCCAGTCCGTTGACTGCGTGTCGTTGAACATCGCTGACGCCGCAGAGTAGTCTCATGTCGATGAAAGGATCGGGATAATTGTCGCCGTCGATGTCGTGACCTTGGGACCAAGCCGAACGTGCGACCTCGATGCGGTGCTGTCAAGAAGTCAATGTCAACGATCGCAGTGGTCAAGCATTGTGGAAAAGCCTTGAAGCCGGAAACAAGCATTGTAATTGAGATCTGAAGAAGTCGTGGCGTATGTATTCATCACCTTGGCGCTATACAATAGGGTGGCGTCGACGCTAGTGAAGTCCGACTCGTCAGCAGTGGCTTCCTATCACGGAAAGGCTTCGGCTGACGCGTAATATCCGCCGTCGGCGAATACACGTCCAAATTACCGTCGCTCGTTGTTCAATCAAGCGGTCGATCTATCAAAATCAGTACAGCGAGAAGCAGCGACTCATGGGGTGATGTTGTTGCATGCAAAATGGGAGCTCACTAGTGTCGTAAAGATGCTTCATTTCAAAGTTTCGTAAGATATCGTACCAGCCGATAGTCTCCAAATGCGTACAGATGTCGTATCTTCGTCAGACCATTCTCGAAGCGGCGCGGTTTACTCAAGGCTCTCGGGAGTAACCCTATCCGCTCTGAGATCCATCCCAGTTGCTGAACAAGTTCTTAAATGAGTCCCAGAATCCTGGCTCAGGCATGGCGTCACGCTTGCCGCTGCGAGATCCGTCCCAGTTGCTGAAAAAGTTCTTAATCGTATCCCAGAAAGGTTCAGGCGCAGCGTCACGCTTTCCGCTTCGCGAGCCATCCCAGTTGCTGAAGAGGTTCTTGATTGTGTCCCAGAAAGGGTCAGCCTCGGCCTCACGGGTGATCAGATTGCCATCCTCATCAGTGGAGACACCTAGACTGGCAGGCTGCTAGGGCGTAAGTTCTTGATCACAATACTGAGCCTGCGTAGCTTCAATGCTCACTTACCAGGTTGATAAGGCGCAGAGCATCGGCATAAGCTTCCGCATCAGCGTCGCGCTTGTTCACTTCCTACAGAGGTTTTAGTCTTCGGGCGAGCAAGCAAATGCATCAATTTGCCGGTCACCCACCGAATCAAAATAGGATTTGAAGAACTCATAGTTCGCTTTGGCCTCCGGGTCAAGAGCGTCTACCACCTTGAAGACGTCAGCTTTGCAGATCGAAAAGTAATGCGAGTGATCAATTGTGCTCACCACTGGTCCATCGCTCTCTCCACGCGAGTTCAAAGACTTGGAGAATGACTGGGCGCTGAGGTCCAGGAGACTTGCTCCAATTGGTGCGGCCGAAGCCGTGGTTCCCAGAAGGGTCACTGCTGCAGTGAAGACGACATTGTAAAGCATTTTGAGAGACCTGCTCCCGTGATGAATGGAATTGAAATATGAAAACAGACGGGGAAAAGTAAAGCTTGCAAATCCAGATCTGCAGGATTGTGGGGGATGCGCGAGGGTCTTTGATAAAGGCTGCATTGCTGCATCTCGGCGAATGCGCCTAGTCGTATAGCCCTAGAGCTAAGGGTGGCTATCACAACTGCCAAGAGCTGGTGAGTGAGCTTACTCCAGTCCGACCTGTCAATAGCATGCATTCATGAGATCGGTCTCGCGTGACGTATATACAGCGCCCTATTCTAGCCCTCGTCGAAAGTCTACGCACGAATTTCAAGGCTGAACCAGGAGAACCTTGACGTCAAATCGCCGAGCAGGCAGCGGTGGCAGCGGTCCGGTATGCCGCCAGCCGAGCAGCTGTTGTGCTGTGCTCGCAACAATGGGGACTTCCTCATTCAACGATACTGGAGCAGGGCCGTCTGCGCTTCAGGTTCATCTTCAAAAGAACCGATTCGGTCGTGCAAGGGATGTCATCGGCGTCTACCGGGACTGCGGCGCTCTGTTGTTCGGCGCATACGAGGGCTCGGGATATTCAGCGCAAGGCGGGGCTGGTCACAGTGCCGGAACATCTCCCGCAGAATCCTTATAAGGTCTCCAATTGCGATATGAGCTCGCTGTGACAGGAATGTAAAGAAGTTTCTGGGCGTGGTCAGCGCTGGTTGATGTCGATGAAGTTGTGCATCTGCATCTTCGTCTCGATCTCAGACTGCAGCGGGCGGAGAACGGGCCGTGCCCGCGCGAGCCGTTCCGTGCTTGCTCCAACCTCCGCTCCCAGCTCCGACTCTGCTGCTCCTGTCCTCTTCCCACTCCGCTCCGCTCTCTACCAAGTATTCACTCCCGGAATACACGATGTCCTCTGATCTTGCCCAGTGCAGGCCACAGCCGCCTCTCAGCGAGACCTCCCGTTGAAGCCGATCTTCAGACACGCACGCAACAGAGCGCAGATGAAGCTACATTGACGTCCTGAAAAAAAGGCACGATCACATACAGCAAGCAAGCATTCAAGCGCGTCTTGACAACTGCTAATGAATATGCTACGGTGCTGTAGCGGCCCGCGGGCGGTTCTCAACGACGCATCAGTGAAAAGAACATGAAGTCAGCATTCCACGACGTGAATTCATCAAATCTGAGTCTACACCGCATAGCTCGCAAAATCCGGCAGCCAGGATCATTGGCGCGGTTGCTCTCGCTCCTATCATTTCCCCAGCTCTGTTTTGACGAATCTGCTGGCATTCTTTGGAAAGCCCTTCACTCGCTATCGCCACGCTCCCTGATCTTCTTCGCCATGATGAAGTAGTGTGGCTCAGTCTGGCACCCCGTCTCTGGAGGCGGAACGAAGACATCCGTCGTGGTGTACAGGACCTCGAAACCTGCGTCAACAAGCAACTTCTCCCATCCTGCTCTCGTGAACATGTCGATCGTGATGGGCTTTCCCATAAACTCGAATGGCATCTTTCGAGCACAAGCACCATCCTCATCATACTGAACTTCGAGCTTCTCTGGGTGGACATCCTCTGCGGCGCCAGTGCCGATTGCCAGAATTCCGCCTAGTGGAAGCCAGCAGTTCCAGCGGGTTGCCATCAACTCGACATCCTGTCTGCGGAGAAGGAACAGCGAGAGCATGTTGAAGACAGCATCAAATTTGATGTCCTTGGGCTGGTAGGTGAGCATATCGGCAACTTCAAAGGTACCGGTCGGAACTGCTTTCGAGGCGAGCTCGACCATGACTTCCGAGAGGTCGATTCCGGTGATCTTGTGTCCAGCTTCTGCTGCGGTCGTTGCCACTGGTTTTCCGGTACCGCATCCGACATCAAGGATGTGCGAGTTGGGTTTCAGGTGCTCCAAGACCTTTTGTGTGAACTTCAGAAGACCTTGGTCGTGGCCGAAGGCGGCTTCGTATTGCTCGCCGATGCTGGAGAATAGGTCTGCGTTCTGTGTCTGCGCCATGTTCATTCGAAACTGCGGAAATTGGCCACGAAGAAGCTCGGTGTTTGCTGCAGCGGTTGTCAGTCGCGAGGAATGACCTTTCAAATACTGCAGAGGCACCAACGTAGTGAATGGACCCACTTGCATTGGCCGAATGTGCATGAGCGAATGAATGGATCAGCTGAATGCTGGACGGCTCTGTACCAGTATTCACAAAAGGCCGGCGGAATCCGAGAATCCGGCCCACTCTCCGCAACTTGGAGCTACGGCGAAGAGCAAGCAAGGCGATCTCCAGCCGCATTGCAATATGTGCTAGCCTGGAGCGAGGAATTTGCGTCGTGCTCAGAATCGACGTACTTTCACAACCTCCATTGTACAGCATACGTCGTGCTTGATTTCCTGCTCGTAGCAGCCTCGCGATTTATACCAGCATGCGGAACTATTACTTCAAACTCTGGCCTCAAGCTTCGACTTCAAAGCCCATTCCACGCATCTCATCGAATCTCAAAAATTGCGGTAAACTCGTCCATCGGCAACACTATGGTACGATCAACTCTTGTTCACGTCCTCAGTCTTCTGCAGCGATTGCTCCAGCAGCTCCCTGGCTTTGACAGCATCGACAGCCACATCATAATCCCAGAGCCAGTCGAAACGCCTCTCGTACTCGTCAAGCCACTCCTGCAACGCTTGTCGCTCTAGCTTTTCGTCCACAAAATCGAGAAATCTGCGTCCATTGTCTTTCGAGAGTCTCTGGACCTCTGAGAAACGAGGTTTACGAGCTTGTTCCGTCGCAGTAAGTGCTTCGTGCAGTGGTTCTGCGGACACTGGACCCCATCGTAAAGTAGGGCTTGCAAGCGTCTCCGCCAAGACATATGCATCCTCGATTGCTTGGCTGGCTCCAGCCCCGAGATGTGGAAGCATGCTGTGCGCTGCGTCGCCCATGAGGATCACCAGATTGTCCACAAAACTATCGGGCTGAGCGGAGTGCTGGTGTAAAGCCCAGACTGAGGGATCGGTGAGTTCCATCGCATCTAAGATCTTCTGCACGCCTGGGCCGAAACCTTGAAAGTCTCGCCTTAATTGTTCTCTCTGGCTCGGAATTATCCACTCGGTATGAGGCCATTCTTCGCCTGAGCCGCACTTGTCCATGAAAGCAACACAGTTGACTTGTGTTCCCCCGGACACTGGGTAATTGATTAGGAATTTCTTTGGCCCGAGACGGATCGTGGAGTGTGTGACTGGCACGCCAAAAGCCTCGATGTATCTGTCCATGGAAATTACGGCTCGATAGGCGAGGCACTCGCTGTAAATGGGTTTGCTCAGAGGACTCTGCGCGCCAAACATGCAAGTTCGCACGCTCGAGTGGATCCCGTCCATCGCCACCAGCAGGTTGGCCGACGCTGCTGTGCCATCGGCAAATTTCAGCTCCACACGACCATCTTTGTGCTCGTAACTTGTCAGTCGTTTGTTGAATTGCGCACATCCTGCTTCCGAATCTTTCGCCAGCATGGTCATCAACTCATTCCTATGCACGGTTCTGGCCCCTGTGCGAGACCTTACAACTTGGTGAATCACCTCGCTGTCCTCGTGTCGATGCCGCGAGACTCCATAACGCAGCTCGTTCCGGACTGATAGGCTTGCTGGAGCTGCATCGTTGTTTCCAACCAAGGCATGAAACTTCTCAGCCAACGACGGTTCGCAGAGCTGGAGAGCCCGGACGGCGTGAGCGGCCATGACTATTCCGGCTCCAATCTCACTGAATTCAGCACGAGATTCATAGATCGTGAAGGGGATATTGCGATGCTGTAAGGCGAGACCGAGACAGATACCGCCTAGCCCGCCTCCGACGATGGCTACGTGGAATTCTGCTGTCGTACTCATGTTTGCTGTTTACTGGGAGTGATCGATGTTGACGTGGCGGAGGTCCTTTGGGTCCTGCCCAGTGGCCGTGATTCTGCGGCGTTCTATATTCGATCTACGGATGGATTTGATGGGAATACCATGCGAGCAGTACTGCTCCACCCACACCCTGCTTAGTAAACTCGGATCGACGGACTTAAGCGCTCCTGTTGTTCAGTCGTTCTCACGGAGCCGTGGAGAACGCTCAGTGCCTCACGACAATAGGCGACATGGTCTGGACTATCGTTGCTGCCATGGCAGTCGCCAATCCTGGCATTTGTCTGCGTTGATCTTGCACATTCCGGTCAACGCAATGCTCAGCTAGGCTATCAATTGAACGCTTTCAACAAGAAATCGCGGCCTCATTCCGTCACCACTGCTTTCGTGCATGCGAATCCCTGTCGTGTCCTGGGTGCTGGCATTCCCGCGAACTTTGAGTTCTGGAACTACGTCTTCTCGCTCGGGGTCTTGGTAATGGGAGGAAGACCATAACTCCGCTTCCCCTCGTCAGGCTTCTCGAGCTCTGCGAACAAACATGGCTAAATGCATATAGTGTCAGCTCTGTCAACTTTTCCCCCTTCGTTACAGCGGCAAACTGGTCAACGTCTGCTCTACGGTCGTGCTGCAGAGCTGCTTCCACAGGGGAGTATAGGTCGTTCATAGCTATTCGCTTGGTTTGGCAGACTGATTGCAGCTCAGGACATCTGATATCGGCTGATCCGACGAGCACTCGTTGCGACGGAACGCGCACTGGGAGCTCGAATCCGGCCGTTTTGTTGGCTTCTGGTAGCGCGATGAGCCGCTCTGATAACAGTCTCTACTGCGTTGATTCCGGAGAGCTCCAATGTCTACGGACTCTTTCAGAGGTGGCCGACTGCCGTTCTTGTGATGATCGTGCACAGCACCTTACCAAAGTCTGCAGGCCCGGACCTCCACTTCCCGTGCTTCGTCGACCAAGCCTGCCAGCCTGCTTGTTTGCCGTCTCACTAATCTTTTCTTGAGAGACCGGATGCGCCGGGTTCTCGCAGCTTACACCATGCTCGGCAATCAACGGTCGCTGGTTGTCAATGCCAAGCATGATCTGGTTGAATGAAGGAGCCTCGTCTGCCAGTGAACGTATACTATCATCTGGGCCATAGAGACAGATCAATCCATCGGCCGAGCATCGAAGTCCTGTTCACACGCCCGACCAACATGTATACGAGGCACGCGACCGCTGACCAGGTGTCGTGGTAAACCGGATACCAATTTAGGTATCTGCCAAGATCGCCAACTACTTGGCTTCTGACCAACGTTGACTTCCTCCTATATAGCGATTACTGAATCTCATGTAGCAGACCCTGTCTCCGATGGACCCCATGGAACCAAGCACGATCTGTCTTTACCATCTGACGCTACTTGCTTAGCCCCAGCTCAATGCCTCGAGGCGGACGCTCAGAAAGCCGTAGTGCTGGCTGGGCAGCGAGTACGGTCTTCTGGACCTCGGCCTTACTGATCTTATACTGGCGTCTCCTCGCATTCGTGCACGACATCCAAAAGGTCTACGGGGATTGCAGCGTCTCGGGAAACACTATACTCGCCGAAGCAGTGTGTCGAAATGATCTTGGAAGCAGGCCTCCAAATGAATATAATGTCGTGCACGCACGCGATACGGCTGCCAGATTTCCCAATACAGCAAGATCAACATGCGACCTGGAGCGGTGACTCAAAGCCTGCTGGCCTTGGCAGCATTATGCAGTGCGCAAAACATCACATTTCCCTACCAGAATGCCTCGCTGAGCATCGATGACCGCCTGGACGACCTGGTCTCTCGCATGACACTGGCAGAGAAAGCAGGGCAGCTGTTCCACCCATACATCAACTATGGCCCAAATGGCACTCTTGAGCCACTGCCGCGAGAACAACAGTCGATGGGCGGGAACGACACTCGCACGAAGGTTGGCGAGATGTATCTATCACATTTCATTCTCGGCGACGACATTTCCGATGTGACAGTGGCGGTCAATTGGCACAATGCAATTCAGGAGCTTGCACGCAACAGCACTCGGCTCGGAATCCCCATTACGGTGTCTAGTGATCCTCGAAACCTCTACAGCGAGACCGTGGGCGGCGGAGTGGTGAACAAACTCTCGCAGTGGCCCAACAGTCTTGGGCTGGCCGCGTTGAGGAGCCCAGCACTTGCTCAAAAGTTCGCGGAGGTGGTGCGGGAAGAGTACAAGGCCCTTGGTTTCAGGACTACACTCTCTCCACAAATTGACCTGGCTACGGAGTATCGATGGGCCCGTATCCCAGGCACATTTGGTGAAGATGCCAATCTGACGTCCGACTATGTCGTGGCGACACTACGTGGCTTCCATGGAGAGGAGTTCGGTGTAGATTCAGTGAACACCATGAGCAAGCACTTCCCCGGCGCAGGTCCAGCGGAGAACGGAGAGGACGGCCATTTTGAGTATGGAAAGAATCAGTGAGTTATCTGACCTGCTTTGACAGCAAAGATTGTTCCACCTTTGCATCTCGCTGACAATTCACGTAGGACATACCCAGGAAACAACTTCGACGCACATCTGGTTCCGTTCAAGGCTGCTATTGCTGCTGGCGAGCGCCAGATCATGCCAGTGAGTCATCCAATGAGCTTTGACAAAGCTCGTAGCTCTCCTCAGCCTGAACTATCAACGCTCAGTATGCTGACTCTCGCAGTACTACACTCGACCCATCGGAACAGAATACGAAGAAGTCGCATTTGCCTACAACAAAGGCATCATTACTGATCTCCTGAAAACCGAGCTTGGCTTCACCGGAATCGTGTGTTCCGACTGGGGCATCGTGACCGACACCGAGATCGCTGGACAAACCATTCCTGCCCAAGCATGGGGCCTGGAAAGCCTTGGCGAACTCGAGCGTGTGGCACGTATCTTGAACGCCGGCGTGGACCAGCTTGGTGGCGAGGAGCGACCTGAGCTTATCATTCAGCTCGTCGAAGAGGGTAACATCACAGAAGAGCGTGTCGAACAGAGCGCCCGCCGCCTTCTGCGCGAGAAATTTGTTCTTGGACTTTTCGATAATCCATTCGTTACTGTTGAGCGCGCCAACGAGATTGTCGGCAACGACGAATATGTTCAGCTTGGTCTCGCTGCTCAGCGAGCCTCGCTTACGCTTCTCACCAACGAAGATGAGATTCTGCCACTCAAGGACGAGTGGGCTGGCAAGAAGGTCTACATCGAGGGTTTCCCTGAGGTCTATCTTGAAGGCCGCGGGCTTGAAGTCGTCGAAGACGTCAACGACGCTGACCTGGCCATCCTCCGCCTCATCGCCCCCAGCGAACCACGCGAAGGCGGTTGCTCCCAGCTCTACGCTGCTGGCTCACTGGAATTCAATGCTACAGAACAAGCTCGACAGGCGGCAATCTACGAAGCTGTGCCAACAATTGTGGATATCACTCTCGAACGCCCAGCGGCAATTCCAGAGATCATCGAACAAGCTGCAGCTGTGCTTGGAAGCTACGGATCTGGACCCCAGGCCCTGCTTGATGTGCTCTTCGGCGTCAATGGTGCTGAACCGAGAGGACGCCTGCCATTCGATTTGCCTCGAAGCACGGAGGCAGTCGATGAGAGTGCAGAAGACGTGCCATTCGATACACGCAATCCTGTGTTCACGTTTGGACACGGATTGACGTATGGAAGTGCGATCGATGATGTTTGGACGTACGGCGTGGCATAGAAAAAAAGCCGAGGCGAGGACGAAATCATGCCATTTAGAATTGCGACTCAATCCGCAAGGGCAGCTTGAAAAATTCTCGATAAGACTCAATTTGTCGCTTACCACAACGAGACAAAAGCGGCGTCAAACGCAAGAATGAAACAGTGTTCACATTCTCATCCTCGTCCCCACCCATCCCAACCCCACTCTCCTTCCCATTCTCCCCTCACTGTGGGAACTTCCAATCCTTCTGACTCATCCACTCCTGATTCTGCTCCGCCGCATCACTCGCCGTCTCCGTAAACCCTTTCCCTTTGCCTTTCTCCTCATCCGCATCTCCTAACCCAAAGTCAACATCGTCAATAGAAGCGGGGAATTTCGCGTCGGTGGCGTATTGGATTCGCTGTTCAACACAGAAGACGTCAGTCAGTGGAAGACAAATGAAACGAAAGAAGACATTTTGGGATGCGTGGGGGTGTGGATTCTTCTTACCCAAGTCTGACATCCTCCCTTTCCAAACAATCCCACTTTCTTATGCGCAGCACACATATCATAGAACTGTCCTCGGCAGATGTGCATGGGGACCCATTGGGGTGGGTTGCAGGCGAAGAGTTTCATTGTTCCTACAAATTGTCAACCTCTTCACATTCACAACACCTCTTTCTATTACTCTGTTTTTCTTGGGATTTCTCGAAGCTACGCTTCTACGCGTCTCTTCCCTCGAAGCTTCGCTTCTCGGATCGGGAATCACATACCATCAATCCAGATCCTACTATCCTTTGGTCCCACTTTCCCTGTTTGTGTATAGTACTCTGGTACGACCATGTTTGTTTTTCCCCCGCAGAAGTCTTGGATGAGTTTGAAGATTTTGGGATGTGAGTGTTCGCAGTCGGAGCGGGCGTCTGCTGATACAAGGGCAGCTGTGCCCAGAAGGAATATGAGTGGGGCCGTGAGGAGTTTCATGATGGGTGGCTTTGATTTGTTGGGTGTTGTGGAGGATGGGCGTGGTGATGGTGTAGAGAAGCTTGGAAAAGAGGTTTCATGATCAAGAGTTGCTGTGGTGGAGGGAAGGATTCGTGTATTCTTTGTTTTCCATTTCGATCGTCGAAGCTGTAGTCATCAACAGGTTCGTATTGTACCTACCCCAGTCTCGTGGTAAAGAACAAAGAAAAGCTGGGGAACAAGATCGGTGGCAGTCAGTTCATCAGGACAAAGACGCATCTTCTTGGCACGTTATGGGTCCTTGCGATACGAGACAAGAAGCTCTCACTACATTACCTGTAAATGGTGGACATGAGCAGAGTTCATTCAGGATCGCAACGATTCGCATGTATAGTGATGAGCCTTGGCAGATTCATTATCCACTTCCCGTTGATGATCGCTGTAGATTCGATTGTTCGACGAGATTTCTCTATGTTTTCGACCACAATATTGCTGTATGGTACTGTTTATGATGAGACAATTGCAAGTGAGATGTAGTGAGAATAAAAGTCAATTTGTGAAAAAAGATTGTTTAATGCGAAACTATTTCCGTCATATGCAACGATCGCTGAGATGCTCAGAACTAGCCTACCGAACACCGGCCACCAACTTGCTCCCGTGCGCTCTCCTCCGAAGTCTATCGTACAGGTGAAGGCGAAGACGGCGGAGTGGGATCCGCCTCGTCATCGGTCTCCCAGCCATCCGTCGGCGAACAAGGCGAAGTCAGCGTCGGAGCAGACACTCGCTCCTCCACTCTGAGTAGAAGAGGTCGGGGCACCCAAGCACCGTTATTGTGTTGGCCGGTTCGGACCAGGATGATCTGAGCCCGTCGAGTACGGGCCTGTTGTTCCAGCTGTGTAATTCTCTTTGGTCGAGAATTTGGTGGAATGGCAATTGTGGAACCGTGATAGCCGGCAAAGGCGCTGTAAGGCACCAAGACGCTTGCGATGGCTAATCTCATCAGCTTGCGGACACACTTCTCCCGGTTCAGAGTCGTGCTGAAGTTGATCATATCCGTGCACAGTTGTCGACGGACTTCTTTCTCCTCGCTGGTTCGCTCGTGCGGGTCCTCGGCGAGGTGCTTGACCGCTCCTGCAATCCATGCGAAGATACCGAAGCCAGCATTTCTGTGGCTGTCTACAGTCCGACCTTCGTATTGAGGATTGGCGAGTTTGCGCACTCGCTCAGGATCTCGCAAGGATTGTGCGTGTCGTACGACGCGAATATCGAAGCCCGCGCGGATGATCTCCAGTCGGCGGAGAAAAGGGACATCTGTCGGCTCAACGAACTTGGCGTAGCCCTTGGGTTGTAGGACTTCGCCTCCCACAGCAGGCTGTGGCTCATACCCGTAGCGGCTAAAGCTCTGCCGGTGCATTTCGTTAACCTGGCCATCAGCACTGGATTCCCATTTGGCGAGAGCACGACCTTGCGGCGTGTCTTTCCATGAAGGATAGGTACCAGCCTCTGCCTCGATGAGGTTCCAAGTGTGTTCCTCCCATTTGCTGCCATGGATGTCGTACGTGAGCAGTACTCGAGAGTAATGCAGCCGAGCGAGACGGCGGATGCTGTCGACGAGGAAATCGGGATACTTGAAGACGCCAATACCCCAGCAGAGGATCGCCCACTCGAGAACAATTGCGGAGTTGACGCTTGAGCCTTCGTACTGCGATGCAACGCTGGTGTGAGTGGCGGTCTTGAACCTTTCGAAGTTCACGTAGCCTTCGGGGTCATCTCTCTTCCAGATCGCCTGTCCCTCTTTGAAGTCCCTTGTTTCGCGCTTGATGAGCTCTTGGTTCATGGCAAGGTTCGCTTCGAGATCTGCCCGCTCATCGAGAATCTTGTCCAGCCGCTCCAGGCGTTCTCTTTGGTAACTCAAGATTTCTTCTTCACGTCTGGCCTCCTCTCGTGCCAGGATGTCTCGTTGAGCGACCTGGAAAATCGCGTCGAAACCATCAGTCGGAAGACGTGCGTGCTGTGCTACGTGGATCGTAGTGTCAATAAGCTCTTGAGACTCGTCCGCGACGTCTTCTAGGTCGTCGGCTTCTTGCAGTCTCTCAAAGGCCGCGACGAGGCTTGTGATGCGCCAGTTACCATACATGGTGTGTGCCATGTACGTTGCCGGACCCATTCGTGCAACAGGGATTGAATGTTCTGCCGCTTCTCTCTCGTCGTCGCTTTCATCGCACAGCTCATCGCATTCCGCGCTGGAATCAGAGTCAGCATCACTATCATCAAGATCCTCGTCGCCGAAATATCGTCGGCCGTGCATGCGAACAACCTCAACGGGGTCGGGGTCGCACTCACTCCGCTCAGCGCCTTCACGTCTCATACGTGCGAGCGCTTCTGCACCACTTATGTTCGGATCCGCGCCGAGTGCCCAGTAGTCATCGCCTTCGAATTCGCCCTGTACCTCGTCGATGGATCTCAGGGCTCGTTTACGATCGGCAAGCTCTCCGCGGATGGTCTGGTTCGCTGGTCTTGCCGCATCGTATTCGCGCCAGAAGCTTGCATTGGAGTGCTCGGCCGGGTCGTCCTGTCTGTATGGGTGTGATGTGGCCATTGTTATTTTGATTTTCTTACTTGTTGGTCTTGGATCTTAGTTTTGGAGTTCGAAGTCTGTCCTGCAGATTCGAAGTGTTGAATTTCGAGTTGGAAGGTAAGCAGCAAATGTGTAAACTGTTGGGTTCGTGAGTTTTGAGAACTGTAGTGAGGCCCGACAGAGAACCATACTTGTACATTTTCACAAGAGGCATCTTCCAACAATGGCGCTGTCCAGGATGAAAGAAATCTCAACGCCATTGTCAGTGCACCAAAAATCGATCAAAGAAGTTTTCTGGCGACAATGCTATTACCAGAAGGTCGCGGTCTTTGTGCAAGACAGTGCCTTTGTCGACCCGAGGCCGGGAATGCGCATTGATGGCCATGAAGCAGGATATCTTGGCAGGTCTTCTCTACGATAGCCATGCCACAGCAGAAGCACAACAATGATATTGATATGAGTATAGTATCCTGAGGATGTGTATAGTGGGTAGAGAAAATAGCAGTAGCCTGGTATCAAGATCAGTGAAGAACTCAGGAAAGGAGGAGAGAAGTTGAGGAGGCGAATGCTTTTGCAAAGAGCCTGCCCCTTTCGCGTAGCTCATCAAGCAAGCCCAGACATTGGAATTGAATGTCTGCCACTTCCGAGACAGTGGAGAGATGCTGGCTGGATACTGCTCCTTCGCTTGCCCAACTTCAAAGCGAGGTTTGAAGTTGCTTGTGTTCTCAGTGCTGGAGAGATTGTCGCCGCAAGTGTGTGCAGCTGTTGCTGAGGAGCGTGATCTGGGCGGCCGCATTTGGCGAAGCGTATGCGTAGAACAGAGCTTCTTCCGCGGACTGCGTCGGACCAAGACATGAGCGTTAGATGCTGCACTTTCCACTTTTTCCGTGCGAATTCTACGCTCGCAGCAGATGTGACACAGCTCGTGCGTCTCCTCACCATTCATCTCATCCCATACGGTACTATCACCTTCGATGCGGCCTGAGGAAGCGGATTCAATGGCACAAAGTCCTGCATCAGCGCATCGGCCACGCGGCGCTGACATAATTCTCGCCAGTGTCCTCAGCCAAGCCTTCCTGCACTCCAGCACGCGCAAGCCCGGTCTGACAGCATCGTGACACTGCAGATGTACAGCCAATCAGGCAGATTGGATGGAAGAAGTGCAGAGTTGGTCGGCGCTGGAAGTCCAAACAGTCAAGCAATGGCCAAGCTTCGCCTCTCTGGGGAGTACGCAAGTGCCAGCCTGATGAGGATCGCGATTCTGCAGAGTTGCAGCTGTGACTGCAGAGAGGCCGCGCAACGGGTTCTTGGAGATGCGGTGTGATCACGATGGGGGTCGGAGCGGTGCTATCTTCTCATTGGACGATGAACATCCCGTATGAGGCATCTCGAAGGACTGAGAAGCTGTGAAAGCCATCAGTATCAGTATCATAGACACGTAGCAGTGGATTCGTGGCACTTCGCCAGATCGTGCTCCAGGCGTGGTCGGATGACCTTAGAGGTTCGTGCTGGGGCGCCGTTTCAGAATGGGTCAAGAGCTGCAACGGAGTGTTCGGGAGTGCTCGCCTCCCCGCAAGATGGCGGTGGAAGTCCGAGATGTTGTCAACGACAATGGGAGGCTGTTGGAAAGTCTCCTCGGCGACCGGGTGAGAAAGTCATGGGACGGATAACAGTCTTTGTTCATGCCACTGTCTGGTATGAGGAACAACCTTCACAATATGCATCACTACAACTCCATAAAAGATAACTCAGGAATGGCTCCCATTGACATTGCTATCGGAATCCGATCGCAGAACCTCTCCTCTCCGACCTCATTGCTGGTCCACCGTTTCGGCATATCACGTGCCCCGTCTTGGCACCGGCTCTCCGCCCTCGATTTCCAGCATCCGGGGCGTTGCTGCAGTGGAACCGACTTCAGCTCTCTCCTCTTCCACCACCAACCAACAATTCAGCCTCGCGTCGATCCTCCGCAAATAACGACATGCGCTGGTCGCTGACGGCGGTCATTGTTTGCGCGTCTGCCGGCATGACGCGTATTTTCCGAAACCATGTGAGCAGCAGTAACAACAACAGTAACGCAGGAGGATGCGCGTAGGTCTGTCGTCGTCAACCGCCAACGTCTCCCAGCCTTTTTCTTCACGATCACCGCAGGGATGCTGACATGCTGTGCCATTCTTGGACACAGCTGGGTATATGAAGCTTGACACTTCTCCATTTCCTTGTCTCTTTTGTTTCTTATCTCTCACATCCACACCTCAGCCGGATCTTAACCACAGCAACAACCAAAAGCCTCGCCAGGATGAAACAAACAAGCACCGCCGCTCTCCTCTCCACTCTCTCCACCCTCGCCCTCGCTTCTCCCCAAGGCTTCGGCGGCCGCGGCGCAAACGGCGAAGACGGCTATGGTGCATGGGGTCAATGGGCCAGCGAAAACAGCGTCACAGGTTACCCCACCAACAGCGCCGAATGGGCTAGCTGGGCCAGTTCCAAAGGTCTCCCGACCGAGACATCTGCCTGGTCCTCTTGGGCTTCCGCTCACGCTGGCTACGGCGGAGGAGGCAAATGGGGTGGAGGCGCAGGGCCTTGGCCAACTTCCGCTTACTCGGATTTCGCGTCTTGGACTTCCACTGCGAGTTTGACTGCTGCCCCCACGGACACCGCTGAGTGGGATAGTATTACTTCTGCGCATCCTCTTCCGAGCGATCTTTCGAGTGCGGGCGATTGGTGGAAGAGTAATGGTTTTGTGGGAGGTCAAGCTTGGCCTGATGCGTGGACTACCAATGATGGAGGTGAAGGGTTCTGGAATGGTCCTGTAGGCTGGCACGGGCCTGGTAACGCTGGGGGCTATGGACCTTTTGGACCAGGTCGCGGGAGTGGTGGTTGGGGAAACGGGCCTTGGGCTTCGAGTGGGTCGTGGACGAAAGGTCCTTGGACGCAGTGGTGGGGAACTGATGCTTGTCCCGCGAGTACTTGGTCTGGTGAGTCTTACATTCTGCTTGTCCCCCTTCACATCTGAAGAAAACGTATACTAACCTTGACATCACAGGCTGGACCGACGGCCCTTGGGGCTCCTCCGCACCTTGGACAACCTGGTCAGGCTGCACAGCCGAAACGACCGCCACAGCAACCACAACTGTCACCACAACCGACAGCGCAGGAAGCAGCATCACTTCCCTCAGCACATCTTTCGGCATCCGTGTCGCTGAAGCCACCGGCGTTGCTGTCACGACCGACTCTGATGGCAACACTGTCACCCCGACAAACACCGACTCTGGCGCTATGCCCACTGGTCTCGGACTCATGGGCTCTGCGGCTGGTGTCGTTGGTGTCGCTGCTGCTGCTATCTTGTTGTAAGGATGATGATGGTTGGCTCGATGATGAATGGAAATGAGAATGCGAACAGAGTTATGAATGCGTTGGGAATAGAGGTGCGTGTATCTTGTATGGCATGGAAGACCGCGATACCCTTGGATTTTGAACGGCATGGCATTGGACCACAATCATTATACATAGCTATGAATATAAGCGAGCAAGCCTGACGAAATTATACCAACCATGTCACGAAGACATTCCTTTTGTTTTGCTCAACGAGACTTCTAAGAGCCACTTTGGTTGGATTTGAGCACGACTCCGACTTTCAACAAATAGATTTTGAAGCAGAATCAAGCGGTCTCGCTCTTCATGCCTTTATATGTTACAACCCAATGTAGCAGCAACCTTTCCTCCGTCCAACTTCAGAAATATCACAAAAGGTGCGGGTATATCACACAATGCGATAGTACGTCTCAGGCGCAGCTTGTTCTGAGTCGAGATGAGACGATACTACAACTTGAAGGGGTCATCGTACTGGGCATCATTCTTCATCTTCTCGATCAGTCTTGGGATTTGGGTGTCGTTGTTGGCTGTACGGCGATGGAGGGAATTCTGGGATCTGAATGTCGAGTGGGGATGAATGGTTGGTGGGATTAGAGCTATATGAAGGACTGAGAGGTGACTCTGATCTTTAGTAGCGGTTTTGGATTCTGCTGGGTTGTGCGGAATGGCTCAGCAATTGCTAGGGATAATGGAGCAACAAGTAGTCTCTAGCAGATCTCGAAAGAAGGCCACCGTGCAATGCATTCGACATGTGAGACAACCGCGCAAGTAGACTATGAATTTCATTCCCATTGAAGCTGATCTCGATGCATTGACCAGAAATGATTTTCAGCATGTTCCTGGCACAGATATGGGAACTCTTTCCAGGTACGTCTTGTGTTCTCCTTGTAGCTCTCTATGAGCTAGTGGGCCCGTGCAAAAAAAAAAAGAAAACCAAGTAAGCGTTCGACTTTTCCAATTGCGTCGCAAATCTTCTCACGTACGTCTGCGAGCTCAGGTCTGCGAGCTCAGGTCGACTCAGAAGTTGATCTCCGCGAGAGGAATGACCAATATCTCCTGTTGAGTACTTGACCGGGAAGTTGTTGACAATCACACTGTTGTGTTCATTGTAGTCCAAAACAGTGCCGAGCGGTCTGCATGGACGACGCTTCCGCCCAGAATCTGACGAAAGTTTGGCGTCTGTATAACTTATAGCACGGAAGGACTGTATGAGGCAGAGCTGTATCTAGGACACAGACATAGCTCTAAGTCTCAGCATTGATTTCGAGACCTTGCTTGGGTATATTCGACGGCTCTGTAGACTCTGGGGTGATGAAGCAGCAAGCAGTCTCTGACTATTATCATGTCCACGAGATCTCGACGTCTGTATATCGACTGGCGCAGAGCCACTCGTACGAGTCAGAGGTATACATTGGATGCAGGTATAGCTATGATTCTCAGCGTGGATTCGAAAACTCTTCTGGGATACATTCGACGGCTCTGTGTAGTGCCGTCCAATGGAGGTATGTTTCGCTCTCGGCTGGGTATAGGGGTCGCGGATTCCGGACGTCTGCACCTCGGGTTGCACGGAACCATTTTTGTCAGTCAGAGGTATCGAAAAGATTCAAACATAGCTCTGATTTTCAACATCATTTTCGAAAACGTGCTGGCTTTTACACGATGGCTCAGCAAGCTCTTGTCGAACAGAGAGACGTTCACTCTCCACTGGCTGTCAAAGTCGCAAGTTTCAGGCGTGTGTAGCCAGAGTTGCATAGATCGTTGATCAGAATCGGAGGCACAAGAGCTGGTGTAGCATCGCTCCGATTTTCGACATCGATTTGGAGACTATGCTGGGGCCCATTTGATGGCTCTGTAAGGCCTTGTCCGACAGAGGGACGCTTGCTCTCTGCCAGGTGTGGAGATCGTGAGACTCGGAGGTATTTTACCAGAGTTGCATGGATCGTTGGTCGAAATTGGAGACATCAGAGCTGGCGTGGCGTCGCTCTGCCGGAAGATCCTGCATGAGAATTTATTCGTGGCGATTTCGAATGGCACTGCAAGTTGAGAGATATTAGAGAGACGGTGAGCAGGTCGCATGCTTCTGTTGCACGCATCGATTTGTAATTTTGGCGTGGCGAGACACGGGGGCATGATATCCGTAGAGGTATTTGAAACACAATTCATTAACATTATCATTCTGTCAATCTACAATGCATAAAATCAAACCCATACCCCTCCTCACTCCCTCTGGCCCCTCTCTTTCCCCAGAGACAAAAACACCTCAATCCCACCCCCAAGCAAACCTCCCCATCACCGTAGTCCGAAACCACTCAGTCAACCCATCCTTCACCACAACCCTATACTTCCCACTCCTCTCATAAACCCCCATCAAAATTTCCTCCACCCTCTCCACTTCCAACCCTTTCCAACATTTACTCATCCCCTCGTCATCAAATTTCCCCGGCGCCAACAACAAAACCCCCAAGAAACGATATCGCTCTTCAAGGGCATGGTTCGTCACCAAAAGTCGGAAACCGCGAAGAACGTACTGCAGGAGACCCATTCTCTCAAAAGCATCGTAGATCCATACACTCTCAATGTGCATGAGATCTTGAGCCATCGAGAGGCCCAACTCGTTGTTCACCTCCGGTTTTATGAGGCCGGAGGGAAGGAAGAGAGTTTGGAGAAGGCGAGCACATTCCCCTCGAGTGTCTTCACTCCTCTTGATTTTTGCATGATCGAGATGAAGTAATTCATCCCAACTCTCCGAAGCCAACAGTCTCCAAGCTTCGATTTCTCCGCAAGGCACCTCAGCTCCTTCTCCCTCGAGAAAGAATTTCGCGACGTACTGGAGACGGCAGGAGGGAGAGGTCGCAGTATCTCTGAAGATCTTCAAGCGGCAGATCAGGAGACGAGGTTGACGCGTGTTGGCATCGGGACCGACTCTGGCGCGGAGACGGACTTCCTCTTCTGCGAGAGGAGTCCTTTCTTCTTCTCCTGATTTCTGTGTGGCATCGGGAGATCCCACGCGAGGCTGAGCGCTATCTATGCGCTTTGAACGGCGGACGGAAGCGGAGCGACCAGGACGGCGACGCGAAACAGGACGAGAGACTTCTTCTCCTCCGACCTCTTTATCAGAGTCTTCCGGAACGGCCCATCTACTCCTTTCCTCCTTCGTGGGCTTAGAGTCCGGCTCGGGCTTGGAAGAATAGCAGGAACAGCGAGGTGTGGTTTGAGCACTACGACGCTTGGCGAGGGAGCGAGGAAAAGTCTTCTTCTCTTCTTTCTCTCCCGAAATTTCACTTGCGGCCCTTTTCTTTGATGGGCGGAGATTTGGTGCCGCTGAGGGCGGAGGAACGGCAGAAGCAGCGGCGTGTTCTCTGCTTGCCTTTTTGGCGAGGCGGAGAGATTGGCCGTACATCTTGAAAGCGTTTCTCGAACAAGGAGGCTTGGGTATACTATGCTGTCTGAAGCCTTTGGCAGCGTAATGTGTGGTCGTCTTTTGTGAGAAGGAGCGAAAAGTAGTTGGCTGTTCGTGAGTCTCTGATTCGCGTTCGCTAGTCTGAACGAATGTGATGGGATATGACGAGGGGGCAGTGTAGTACATATAGTTGGAAAGACGCATCAAGGACTGACTTCGTTCGTGGGACGCTCGAATACTCGTACCAATTTCGTGACTCTGAACATGATGTTTCATTGGAGACATCGCGGGTACCCTCGCTGAAATTCTGGTAGAGATTAATTCTGGGGAGAGGATATAGGGTGAGGCCACCGTGATACTTTTCTAAGGACGGGTGGTCTGAGCTTTGGGGAGTGTGTCTGGAAAACGCGGAGATGCTGTCTCTGCCGATGGAGCCTCTCTATTTCATGATATAGTAGCGCAGCTAACAGGAGCGGCTGCGTGTAGAATGCATGCTGGACAGTTGTGGCAGAGTGGCGACCTGCCGAGACACGGGCTTTCTGCTCCTGGTTCAAACTTTCGTGGCCTCAATTTTCGATGGAGAGAGGATGTCGTTCCATCACTTCTCGATCTGCAAAGCCATCGAGAGAAATCCAGCGTGATTTGAATTCCGATGCTTGGAATCAGAGTCATATCGGAATTGTAGGCATAGCTCTGGTTTAGACAATCGTTCGTTGCTATCGTATTGTGGCACGCTCGCCTTTCATGATCTTGAGTCCATATGGAAAGAGATTTCGTGCGACAGTTCGACCTTCGACATCTCGATCAAGGGTGACATCGGTACTGTGGTGCTTGATCTGAGAATTCGAACCGAAGTCATCTGGTGGCACACTCTTGTAGCTCGAGTTTCTGGAATTTCTTCGATTCTGCTTGACCCAGTCACGCCAGCTTCGTGAGACGTGCGTATCTGTATACTCTGGTCTTGAGCATGCTCCGATGCCGTCCGCACGGATAGGAGGCCTCTTATCCTCGTGAACGAAGAATCGGCGCGCTCCGTCGGAACCTTGCTGCTCGTCTTCGTTCTTCCTGTCGTGCCAACAGGTGGACATGCAACATGGCCAATGCGATGGCAAAGAGGATGATTCCGAGTGTCATGGTGAGTTGAGCGAAGAGCGAACGTTGCCAGAGCTGCGATATGTTGATCCTGAGCTCGATATGTGCAGTCATCGGAGGTAGCAGAGTGCTTAGGATTGTGCTGTATCGAACAAAGAATGTTTAGACCACGCTCGAACAGGAATGTCTTTGTTAAGCTCAAGGATGAACTTGGCTCAGCTACGATTATAGGCCATGATGGACCTCATGAGAAGATGGGAAAATCAATACATTGAGAATTGAAGGTAGTCATGATTCATTTGATTGAACGCATATTTGCTGGCAGACGCTGCAACACAGAGTTCTTTCTGCGAGATTACGCTGATGCCTTATCGCGACACCAAATCAATCGTTCAAGCGCCATTTTCAATGCCGAGACTTCTCGAGGAAGTCCGGCTGCTCAGTCCACTAAGCTCCATCGTCTGTCGCTAAGCCGCGTAGGTGGTAGTCCCAGACTGTTTCCAACGCCATCTTACAAGCCCCCATCGAGTTTCAGCACCTCAGAAACAAACCTTGATCTTCGAGAGAACCGCATCGACATAGGAGCAAGCCTGACAGCCCATGATTCGGCAGCCCTCATGGCTGGAGCAGAGCTGACCCAAGCACCACAATCCCGGCTTCATGTTGAGGTCGACCTTAGTCTGGAACCTCGGGTCGACAGTCTGGTCTTCGCCGATGTTGATGGACTTAGCGAAAGCGAAGTGCTTCTGCTCGACAGAGGTAGCGTCGATCTTCTTGGTCTTGATCAGATCCTCAAGCTTGGCGTCGAGCTCTGGCATTGCGTGATCTGGGCCGCCGAAGACTGCTGGCTTGAGGTTGACGGGTGGGTTAAGGAGGACGTCGTGCTCAGTAGCGTCCACGGTGTTGCCATCAATGTTCTCGAATATACGCTCTAGCTCGTTGCGGTAGGGTTCCCAGACTGGAGGGCGGATTTCGAGCAGGGAGCGGATCTGAGCGTTGGAGAAAGGGATGGCGTGGAGGACAGTGCCGTTGGGGGCGTAGAAGCGGAATACGCCATCGTCGGCGAGATGGGCGAAGCCATCGCCTGGGACTTGCACGTTTCGAATGAGAGCGGTGAAGTCTGGGTATGGGTCGCTGATGTCCACAGCCGAGGGAGTGACTTGTGGCTTGCCGATGCTCGACAGGCTCGAGACAGCGACGGCCAACTCAGTCGACGGAGAAGTGGAAGTCGACTGCGCAGAAGTTAGCTCGACGCCATCAGGAACGGTCTGTGACTCATGGTATACCTGAGGGGCTGCAAAAGCCGAGAATGCGAAAGCGCCGACGATGAGCGCGGAGAACTGCATGATGTATTGTGCGCGGGTTGTTGCTGTGCTGTGTTTGCGGCTGTGGCGGTGTTTGGTTGTAGAGGGAGCGGTAACAGCTGTGTTGGTGCTGGAACGGGGGTGGTGTAGGGAGGGAACAAAATCTCGAGAGGCAGTAGCGAAAAGCTGTTTATGAGTCTTGCATCACACAATCTGGCCCGTGCATTCACCGCTGCAAGTGAACGCCAAGCAACGCATGTGACAAACGGTGAACGTCAGCAGCACGACGGGACGCCGGCAAAGGCAAAACTTATTCTCCGAGACTGCGCCTCTGATACATTGTCGGATCGTTGAGGGCTGGCATATTTCTTCAAAATCTGTCATCATATCGCTGAAAGGAAGCACCGTGCGGCTCATGAACTAATCAGGTGGATATCATCGCCCGCTTTTCTCTCCAGTGAACAGAGACCAGTGACGCGAGCGTGGCTGTCTTCGAAACATCCTCTTCGAGCGACGGCGACCCTGAGCTACGCAGCTCACACCCAAGTTCGTGAAGGGCCGATCGATTCTTTCTCCTCAGCTTTGATGTTCACTCTGCACTCTTTGTTCGGATCCACAACAATATCCATTGTCTCTCGACGATAAAGACGGCCCAGCGAGGAACAAATATCGACAATTCCTTGCTCACAAGAACATTCGATTCTACCTGACACGACGCAGTAACCCGATCCAATCTCATCCCAGCAAGAGCGTTCGACTGCCTGGTCCATCATCGCAACAATGTCTCATAACTCGAACATGACAGTACGCCTATCGATCCAGCTCGTCTTGGCGCAGGCCGTCAAAGGAGGGAGATGCAGCGAAGATGCACGAGGCCATGTTCACCGTCTGCTCAAAGAAGCCGCAATCGTACGCTGCAAGTGTTGCCCATTAGGTGCCGTGACATATCAAGTTCCCATCAACGATCTCCGCAGCCACGACTATGACGAAATCGAGTCTGACAAGTGGACCGTCTACTATGATCACAATGCCACTCCAACAGCAGAAGAAGCAGATTCTCTCGACGTCAATGAAGCTCATGTTTCTCTTCGCGGAGTCAAACTTGTCAGTCCTCTGTTTGATCTGAGCGCGGAGAACTCGAGCGAAATTCTTCCAAATCGTGCCCACGACATTGACATGAATACCGAGATTGGAGCTGTACTCCAGCTTTTGCAGGATTCCCAAAAGACCATCTCTGACGGCAGCGATGGCAAGGCGCCGTCTTCTTTCCTATACGCTTCGCCGAATTGTCGCATGACTGTTTCGATCGATTCTACTGACTCGTTTGCAGCGCACACGTACGATCGAGTTGAGCTGTTCATGAATTGCTGTGAGCGGCAGTACGATGTCTTGACTGCCTGCCCAAGTCTGACGAACGTTATGGACATCTTTTCTGTCGAGGCACTCTCGTCCGACGGAGAAGAGAGCGTTGAAGATGGCGATGACACCGAAGAAGAGTTTGGTCGCCATCCTTTTGACTCGGCCATCGACTTTGCGCAGCTGCCTTCTACACTCGACTCCGCTCAGGTCACAGCATGGATCGATGTCGTTGTCAACACCGTAGGTCGTTGCGAGGAGGCTGTCGCGTCCTACTTTGACTGGCAACTCAGCCCTGACGGCGACTTCAGCGCACCAGAGTTCTCTTCAATGCTCATGCTTCGCCATCTCGGGTGCAAGGAAACCACCGTTGACCACTTCCAGTCTCGTCTAGCCGCTCGGCCTATTGAGCTGGATGAAGCCGTAGCTTCGGCGATGAATGCGATCTTCAACGACAACCCTCTTGGAACTCTTGCTCTGCATGTGGTCAAGACCACTGCAGCTGACACAGATCCAGACACCGTCCGCTATCGAATCAAGATGAAGCTGCTCAGTGGAGGGTACGGTATGCATCCACGAGAGTATACAAGAAAGGCTCTGGTGGCGGTTGGCGCAGAAGGAGTACAAGACCATGAGGAATTCGCATGAGTGGCCAATGTACAGTAGACATAGTGTTCTGGCGTGGATCGTGAGCTTGAGTACATTGCCGGAGAGTTGAACAGGTGGGCAAGGACTCGCTTACTCTTGAAGACTGCAACGACCCTCAATAGACAAAGCAAAAGTATCGACTCTCTGAATTACAGCAAGTCAGCTCTACAACTTCTTGCTCGTAATTTCAATTCATACCTTGGTCTTCATTGCAATGTTAATGTTTACAAATCTATGATGTTTCAAAATTATTGATCAAGATGTGACAGTCTGCCCGAAAGCCCATAGAGGTAGGAATGATGAGGTCGCGGCTGCGTTGAGCGAATAAGAGTCGCTCTGAGCGAGAAGATACTCTTGAGTGCACGACTGGGTGAGTCTACTTCTGCCATCATGTTCTACGAGACGACAGATGCCTAGGCCACTGCGTATTGCGATGGTTCTGCGATAGGATTATGTTTAGAGACATATCTGAGACACGGCCGCCTCAGATGATATGCATCGAGATTTCGGGCTTTCTACGCAGAGACGAGTACTTGTCTGCTCGAGAACTTGACTGCACATACTTTAGCACTATCGCTAGCAGTCGGAAATTTGGATGCTTTCGCAACGATGATTCCCGCAATCATGGAGGCAGTGATGCAATCAGATGGTCCCGGATCGGGATAGCGATCGTGGAGGCAGTATCACCAATTATAATGTTGTGATAACTCGAATGCACCAAGTACATACCAGTAGAGCTTCATGAGCATCCTATCCTCCATACAAAGTCCCCGTGTCAACACGATCAGATGTATGCTAATGCACATGATGAGGAATGCCCGCGCACTCCTTGTTGCACGCCGCCTTACAAACCATTTCCAAAACAGTTCCGAATCTGAAGTCCACCTCGACATACACCTATCGGACATCTCGAAGCACATATACCTCATGGAACTATGTCGTTTCGCAAATCCACATCTTGCATGGGACTACCTTTTGGTCTCTTGACTCCATTCGAAAAGTCACATCTCAACTCCGCCTCATAATAAGCTGCCAGCGCGAACCACATATAGTTCTCTGGGCTTAGAAACGCCAAATGATGCTCGGCTTTCTCCAGGGCTGGCGCTGCCACATCATAGAGGGATAGATACATCGCAGACAGGCAGTCGTTGACGAGATGTCTAGGCGATGTTTCCCAGGCGCTTCTGCGTGCCGGAAAGCTACAGTACATCAGTTTCCACGACCAACTTTGACTTCTCAGTGAGTCCGACTTACTTTGGATTGCGCAGGGGCCGGTTTCTCGCTGCTCGACGCACTAATCGTAGCGTCCAGGTGGGATAGAGACCTCGTACAATTTTGCGATACAGTGACAGCGCATTGATACCATACTGCGATAGATGAGCTCCCTCGGGCAGTCTTGGCGGGAATGGCCCTTCACGGAGATCTGTGGGAAATTGAGTGAAGCTTGACGGGCAGAGAATCGTGATCGCAACTTGTCGGTTCCATTCTGGTCTGCCAGGGATCTGCTGAGCGCCCACGGTGTACGATCTCTGTCCAGTCTTCCCGCCACAGAGGTCTTCGGACTCGGTTACGCGTGTGACTCCAGATCCGGAGCGCTTCATGATCGGTGAGTTTGAAGTGCGGAAGGTCGGAAAAGGTGCTGAGCCATCGGGCTTCGGTAGGAACTGGTGCTTTGGGATGCGCACGTATCCAGAGTTGTAGCCGATCCGAGTCCAACCTGCCCAGAACCACCAGTAATCTCCTGCGCACGATCAGTCTACGTTGATGAGCGAGTAGACTGCGGGAAAGTTTACCCATGCCACTGTTGCCTCTGCTTCTCTCATATTGGCGCAAAGTTATGTATCGGCCGTCGGAGCCTCTTCGAAGAACTCCGTTCTCATCGATAGCGATGTCGTCGAGGTCGACATACCAGAGCCACTCGGGCGCGCCGCACACAATAGCAGGTTTGATGTTCTCTGGTTTTGACATCTTCCGCTGGACATTTATGTATGTTCCTGCAACGTTTCAGTATTTCATGCCTGACCACGAGCTCGCAAGAGTGTCATTCACCGTAAGATTGATGCAACACTTCTTCAATTGCCTCGTCTACTGCCTTGTTGTTCGTTTCCCTTATGTCATTGCCCAGGAAGGCACGCATGAGTGAGACTGCTGTCTCAGCCTGCTCCAGACGATCAATGGCTTCCTCGTTCATCAACCAGATCCTGCCCCACTGTGTGACAAGCTCGCCTTCAGCACGATTGCCAGGGCGCGGGGTGAACCATCGGTCGCAGACGTTCTCTCGGTACACCAGATGTGAGCTATGCGCAATGTCAAAGATTTCGTCAATCCTGTGAAGCGGCCCGGTAGGCGATGTCGGGGCGCCACTACTGGTCGATGTGCTGCTAGCTGCTGAGACTGTGGAAGCGTGAGCTGTCAGCATCGCGGCCAACAAGCCCAAGCGCGAGAGAAACATGTTGATGGAGTGCAAGAGGGTAAATGGTATGAGCTCAATTCCGTCCGCTGCGCAATTGCATACGATCTTGAAAAATCGAGGCAGCACGCGAGCTTTAAGCATCCCCAGAGAAAGTCATACTCTACTCATGAGCACAAGGTAGTGATCATCAGTCCGACGTCTACGTGGGAACTTCTCTGTCAGGCGCCCTGTAACCAATCCATTGGCAAGAATCTGTCAGATGTGGCGATGTTAGCAGGTACTGCAAGAGGCCATGCTGGCTCGCTCAATGACCATTGCCCTCAAGGCCCTTATCGGTACGGTAAACTTGATCATGCTCAAAGGTCAGCCTCCTGTTTCCGAATATATGGCAGAATCTCAGCTGCCGGGCTTGGTCATGTGTTGGAATGTGGTCCCAGAAAGGGTCTGGAACACACTATCTTGAATCGATCATAGCGGAGCGTATCCGGCTGGGAGGAGTAGGTCAAAGATTTGCCGAGAGAGGACCGCATCCCGGCGGGAAGGACCGCGGGACAGACGTATTTACGTCGAACGCTATGGACAGAGGAGCCGCCGTCAGATTAAAGAGGGCTCGCTTTCTGGCTGTTCTATTAAGAGGCCTTGACCGAAGGCTGTCGAGCATTGCGTTGGCGCTTTTCTTTGCTACTGGATGATCCGCAGACGAGAAGGTATTGTTTCTCGCAGTACGGAGACTCATAGTAGCAGGCGTTCTATTTCGAAATAGCGATCCCCCCAGACGCTGAAAAGATTTCGTGTCTCTCACGATCTCGAGGTTATCTTGCTAGCGGGTTCTTGAATCCACTCTCGTGATAATCGTGCACGCAGGGATTCGGCTTTCTTATGAAGGATGTAAGCTCCGACGTGTAGAACGAGATAGGGTGTCCATGTCTCAAATGTCAAGTTAAGCCGCAAACAGGTTGTCTGCATGACTGACAAGGTGAAGGGAAAGCCTCGGGAGATGACGGCAGGAACGGAAGTGAAGATCGACAAAGATGCCAAGTCGGATCAACTATTTCGCCGGGCTTCCGAAGATATTCTTTACCGACACCATATGTTGGAGCCACACTTCTGCTTTACGCCAAAGAAAAGTCTTATCAGACCAAGAAGTCCACTACCACATCTAGACACCCGCGGACAAGAACAGTCTTACCCGCCTGCATGGGATTCTTGAGAGCCCTCCTGCAAGCGCCGCCGAGTTCTCGCCACTCTCTCCCGAAGCCAGCACACGTTGACATATTTTCCATACTGAATTAAAGCTGGCCTGTCCAAGTAATCGCATCTTGCGACTACTAATCGCTTGACCCGTGACTTCTCTACCATGATCTCGATTGATTCTCTTCCGACTGAGATAGTTGAGTCGATCCTGCGCCTTTTGCCGACAAAAGATCTTCTACTATCACAAAGGACGTGCAGGTTATGGCAGGAAGTTGTCAAGAGCAGCGAAATGCTGCAGCAAGCACTCTTTGTCAAGCCAGAGAAGGCATGCACAGTAGCACGCTACGTGAACATCTGCCGGGATAGACGATCTGACCAAGAAACGTACAGCCTCGTCCCGGCAACTGAGGCAGATGTCAGTGGACGTTATGCTCGGACAGGCTCAGACAATACGTGTTGGTATCAGGAATCGAGGATGCTCGTAGGACGTTTCAATCCGCTTGCAATCACAAGACTTCATGACCCTAGGTACTTCATCGCTGACACCCCTGCTGTCTACTGGAATCTCGCATGTGGCAGGACCCCAATCATTTTGATATCTCTTCCCCGTCCTTAGGAACTGGAAGCGTTCGCTGTCTGGCGGAAAATGTTGCTCACACAACCTCCGGCATCTGGAGTAGAATATGGTTGGAAATTCCAGGTGCCAAAGCAAGGCTGTGTACGCACTGATGACGATCATTATGTCGAGTCTTCTCCATTAATGAAGTACGGTGTAGTGGAGAACAAGGCAGGAGTGACTATGGGAGAACTTCTGGACAGGATCCAGGTTCTCGAAGAAGAGACTCAAGGACGCTTTGAGTACTCACTCGACAGTAAAACTGTAGTCGTCGGTGTTATAGACTTGACAGCGAATGAGAAACTTGGGTTGCGGAGCAGTACAGGCAAGAATGGTCATATTCCTGCCGATGAGCTTGACATTGATTCATTGTGATCTGCTCGACAGCACAAATTACCACAGTCCCGACTTCAGCACCACACAGCATTGGTCCTTGATTCCCGGCTCTGCCATTCACGGACACGAACACGCAAGCCCAAAGGTCCTAACATCACATGCGCATGGTGCGTATCACAAGGAGCATGGACTTATCGGCATCACAGTTCGCGAGGCTTGCTTGATCTCAACAAAGGTTCCGTGAGGGCATCCCGCACATGTACCGTGGTACGTGTGCTTACCTGACTGGAGCTTATTTTGACTATGGAACTGTCTCTCTTCCAACGCTCTGCACTCTTCGTGCCTAGGAGCCGACTCCGCTATGTGAGAGCCACCGAAGCTGGCCCTCGACCCGATCAGTCGTTGCTATCAACACACTTGGACATGGCCGCAACAGAATCTGTCTGACTCAACAGCAGTGGCGCAGCAGCGCACTCTTAACAGGAGGAGTGAATGAGAGTGGTGTAAAGCGGCTTCAAAACTCACCGAAGAAAATGTCTCTCTCTGAACTTTTAAATGCGATAACAGTCGTCAAGAGCTGCGAATACTTTTGAGCTTTCCATCTACATTTCCCGATTTTACGCCATCCTATTGAACTTTCATGACCTGAGCAGCGCAAATTCGCCAGCTACACTCATCGCCCAAGATGAAGTTCACGAGACTCTACACCTTCATCCTCGCCATCTTGGCCGCCCAATCGTCAGCAATAAAGCCAAAGGTCAGCGTTTGGTCCTCCGATAGCGAAAAAGGGAATGCCACCCAACTAGTACAATGCGTCGCCGATATCGAGAAATTACTGCATGCGCATCCAACCGGTAAGGCTCCCACGACGCGAACCTCGATGAAACCTCTTCTAACCTTTTCCCAAAGTGACCCGCAACTACGGCTACCGCTGCGGCAATTCCTGGTTCCAGTACGGAAGTGATCGAGGCTTCAAACCAGGAAAGACGCATTATCTCATGTTCCAAAAATGTAAGCTTCACCTTGATTATGCTGCCTACGCTGGGAAAGATTGGTTCCTCTGCAAAGTCAAGGTCGGAGGTTGGGGTGATAGGATTGTAGCGTATTCGCCACTGGGCTTCTACGCTTGTGACGATGGCGGTCCGCTTGATCATTCTCCGTGCAGGAAGATGGCTGGCGAGTGTCGAGGACGTCCGAGTGATGATCTATCGTGCCAGAAGTCGCCTGGCGAGTGGCAGTGAAGGTATGCGAGAGGCAGAGGAAAGGAAAGAGCCCTTCGATATTTCGTAGCGAGATGCTGTCGCAAGAAGCACGCATCATCGAGATGGTTGTTATCGAGTGCAACGATTGTCTAAAGCTGTCTCGTATGCCGGTCGATCTAATCAGTTCTTGTAAAAGCTATGATGGAACAATTCTCGGCTTAGACTCCCGAGACTCAGTACACTCTACGGGGATTCTGATAGAGCAGAGACACGATTAGAAGCTCAAGGAATTCACCCTATCTTCCGCATTCGCTTCATATATGCTTTGCGAATTCCAGGTATCCTGCTCTTCTCATCAGTGCGGACCCCAGCCACACGGACGACGACGAGTATAGCATGTATCGGTTAGCGAAGTAGAAATGATGAGGAGGCTGGGGTGGTGGCTTTGGGGTGGGTCATCCGCGCTTATTCCGTGCCTGTCCTTGCTCAGGTTGTCGCACGCGATCTCTACCTTGCTCTTGCCCGGAATAATTATGCTATGCAGCTGAAAATCCTACGCCAGGTAACGTCCTTCCATGCGTGCCGAGACGCACGGTGCGCGGAGACACTTGCGTCCGGATGGATGCACACCTCGACAAGTTGTCATGCCGTGAAACTGAAACAGTGAATTCGAGACAGGGTAAGGTACAGCGACCACTCGGCAAGGCCATGAATGCAGAGAGGCTACACGTGCAGAGCAAACAGGGACGACACAAATGCTATTGACAGTGTCCTTCCAGGCAAGTACACATTGCGGCTGTAAACCGTTGTCGCACGAGGACGAAGCTTTTGGCGACGTCAACACAATGCTAATGCGAGATACCGTGTCATGAACTTATCGCAGCCAACCACAAGAAGCCAAGTGGCCAGATGCAGAGCAGATTGATGAAACCATATGCTTTCAGCCAGGTTCAGACGCGAGCCGCTGCTGCAGCGCCGCTCGCATACGTTTTGCGGAGGTGTTCGAGATGTCCTTGGGAAGGCTGTGGAGGCTGTCAGTCGAAGTTGCACATGCACTCAACACCGAGCTTTGACATCGTTGGCTATATAGCCATGTGGGCGCTCTATCAGAGCGTAATGCAAAACAGCTCCATGGATCCTAACGCAAATCCTGATCGCCCTCACGAACACGTTGATCGGGCCTGTCATGGGCTCCGAGGACTTGCCGAGATAGTGACTCGGCAAGGAGAACGCCTTCAAGCGCTAGAGACCGATGGGCATAGGAGAGGACTGCCAGGGCCAACCGGGCCACCCGGACCACGAGGGGACCAAGGACCAAGAGGAGAGGAGGGAGCTGCTGGTGCAAGAGGGCCTGCGGGAGATCCGGGGCGCGATGGACGGGATGGACGAGATGGACGAGATGGCGAAATGGGCTTGCGTGGAGATCCGGGGCGCGACGGTCGCGACGGTCGCGACGGAGAAGATGGGAGAGATGGCGAGCGAGGTCGAGATGGCATGCATGGTTTGAATGGAGTGCAGGGTCCTCAAGGCCTCCAGGGCCCTGAAGGTCGGCGAGGGGAACAAGGTCCACCCGGGCCGCAAGGCCCGCCCGGGGAGCCGTGTCCGCCGCTAACCATCACGTCGCGTCGTTGGCTGGAATTCTTCGCGTGCCAGCGAAGACTCCGACACACCTGCTGCTGAGCAAATATGAA